CTAATCATTGAATTAAAAAGTGAATATGCACATCCAGTAGTTTGTGTGTCAAAAAAGAACGGAACTGTAAGATTATGTGTGGACTACTGACACATGAAGTCGCAAATTGAAATTGATGTCTTTCTGATGAACAACACGAGAGGCAACAAGTTACTAATTTAACAAGTGCCAAAGTCCACATACATCACTTTGATTGATCTTCTTAAAGGATACTGGCAAATATGACTAAACCGAATGCCAGAAACTAAAAAATGGGTCTTTTTAATTTCTTGACTTCATTTGTGACTCACCAAGCCCAATATGTGTTTGTTTGGACATAATGCGTACCCTTTGGATTAAGAAATGCTGATGCAACTTTTCAGAGGACTACTTAAAAAAACATTAAAACTATGTTGAATTTTATACCTATGACATTACTTCAACAACTTTTGAAATGATATCAATATTTTGACTATGTCGTTTGAATATTTTTTTAAGAGCTAAAATACTAGATTTTTAAATTTTTCTGATTTCATGTAATATGTTTAATATTTAGCCATGGTTTGGTAAAGTATAATCTTTAATGTTAATGATCAATTTGTACTATTTTGTTCATATAATATAATAACTAACATTATCATTATCATAAATAATGTTAAAGACTTAGGTTTAAGGAAAAGTTAATTGAATGTTATGTCCTTTAATGATTAATATTACTGAATTTATGTAGAAATAACTTCAAAATAGTAAGAATTGATTAATTAAGTTTGAAAATTTCATGAATATTATTTTTTTCATTTGTTTCAAGAAATGTTTATATGTAGATTTGATGGGTCACTGAAAGATGCAATCAAATCTTTTAGAGTGGAGGTGTGATGACTTAATGAACACCACACATGCGCACTTTAGCTGAATGGTACACGTCTCCTTTTTCTCGCATGACACAGAGTCGAGATTATAGAAGATAACAGAAAGGTTACAATAATGAAATGTATGCTGTATGGCAGTGGAATATTATGTTACTAACTTTACATCAACTATATTTGTTTTGTTCGTATTATAATAAAGTGTTTGTCTTATTAATGCTATATGAAAATGCCCAAACTAAGTTTACATCTCGTTCATGTTAAATATATTTAGAACCCACCTCCCGATGGATACACGACAGAATGGGTCCATGAAGAATGAACAGAATGGCACATTATGTAAATGGACCATACACACTATGTAGTAACGTTATGCATCTTAGAATAGGAATATGCGGCACAGCAAGAATTATCTGCATATATGGTGAGACATGTTGTGAATAGCAGATTCTTTACATGGTGGCCATTGTTCCATCTGCCTTTAATGACACAGCACAAGAATATTGAAGCCCACCAGCAGCCAAACAGTACAGTCACTGAACATGGTTAGTTTGGTCTGGTGTTCAAATCCTGATGAATGTGCTGGCTGCATGGGCATTTTCATGGATTTTCACCTTGTCTACAAGCTAGTTTTCCTCAGAAAGTTCTCCATGAAGGCATTTTTTTCTCTTGTACAGATAGCCCTATAGAGCTTTAAACCAAGAAACCCAACTACAGGCACAAATAGGATGTCTTCTCAGTCAGATGAAGTCTGATTCTGAACACAATATGCAATACTATGAGGAATATATGCACATATGGCAAAACAACACAGAATGCTGTTTAAAAGCTTGTCTTAATGCATTATCATATGAACCTAGCATAATGGAATGGAACTGGATATGAATCCTATTAGTCACTAATATGCTCTGACAAGTTATATTACAAATACATTAATGTCTGTTGTTGTCTTTTACCTTCAGTTTCCACTTTCTAACAGGGCAATGTGTGATTACATATTGCACTCTGTGTCCAACACTTCTCTGATGCACAGCAAGCACCTTGCACAATGCATTCTCTAGATCTGACCGAACATGTCTCATCTCGGGTGTGAAACATATTGGAACAACAAAGGTGACTAGTTATATCAAATTAATTCAAATAAAGAATCATAAATGCCTAGACTGTGGTATCTCAAAATAACATCCACAAGGCTTGTGATGATCACATCTGGAACTGACCACAGCATTTTTATCCTTGTTAGCATCACAATTTTAATGTTTAGAAGTGTATAATGCATGCATCAGAATTACTTTTTTATTACATTAAAAAAATTAATCTAATATACATAAATTATTTCATAGTTTTTAATAGTTAGAGATCACTAACTAGCAAGCAAAATAACAATACTGTAGTTTAAAATTAGTTCAAACTAGTTTGTTTTTTATTTTTATGTTTATTTATTTTTTTTTCCTTTGGCGTAATAAGTTACCTAATTGAATATCTTTTTTTCTGACTTTCAATAAAATAGCATTACATACTGTAAAGGCCCTTATTTTCGCAAGGCTTTAATTTTCGCGGGCCCGTTGTAATCATGAAAATTTAAGCCTCATGAAATACTTTTTTTTTCTCACCTCAAATAATAATAAAAAATCAGAAATTTTTCACTTACCCAAAATTTAATGATTTATTGCACAGTTACAAGCTTTTTCTTGACAACTTTCTTTCTTATAACTTTTTTTTTTTTTTTGAATAATATACAACTTTATTTCTTGAATATAAAACAATAAAATTAATAAAAGGGAGCTTATTCACTTAGAATACTATTTATACCAGCTTCTTTGAAGCCATTCAAAATGATCTCATGTTTGGCTTCAATACCGTTAAATATGCGCACAAGCCAAGAAACATGAATCATTTTAGTCATGATATTCGCAAGTTCAGAAATTCTTTTTCCTCTAGAAATTGAAGCCCATTAGAATATCACTCAATAAACTCATTCTTGAGCAAACGCTTGAACTCACCATTTAGATGGGAACGGGGGAAGAAAGTTTCTTAAAATGCTTTTTATGCAAAAGATATACTTTTGGAATATTTCAACTTTCTCAACTTAGGTACTTTTGAAATTTTTCAACTTTCGGTTCTGTTCATATAAAATTCACGAAATTATCAACTCGCAAAACCACTAATATATTCATTTTCGCAAAAATTACGGCCCACGAAAATAAGGGCCTTTACAGTATGTAATTGAAATAATATATTTAAATTTCTTATCAATAGTTTCTCTACCTGTTCATCTTTACTCATATTTAAATCTAGGATTCTTCAGATTAATGAATTTTAGTTTAATTTCTTACTTATCTCTATTACTTCCATTACCAGAAACCATTCTTCATTTTATGCTATAGTTAAAACACACTAAAGGAGAAAGGGAGCACCTGTTTTTTAATCCACATGGAAAAACATCTTTTATTTATCTGCTTTAAGTGCATTGTTTTTCAGTAGGAAGTCCAAAATCCAGACATCCAATTTCGGGAATGATCTAAAATCCAAGCAACATCTTTTTGTTTAATGCTTTTTTATGCTTTAAGCATGCACACTTAATACTTTTCCATAATAAAACATGTGGAGAGTTCAAATTCTTAATTTTTTTTGGCACTAACTAAAATACCTTCACAATGAAGAAAAAATCATCTTAAGCATACAGTCATTATTAGCAATTGTTATGAATGATTAATAACTTGGCTCTGTAGGCAGCTTTTTTTGCTTGGCAAATATTTCAAACTAAAACATTTTACATTGAAAAATCACCGATTTTATACCTACTGAATACTTTACATTCCTGACACCAACCTGGCAATCAATATTTATTATTTTTTACTTTCATCATCACATGACTATCAACACACAGCAGATTGAGAAATGACTCATGCATTAGAGAAGCATCAAGCAAGAAAATCAAGAGATGGCAAAAAATTTAGAATTTAAGGAGGCACTTGGTAGCAGAATTTAGGACTCACACAGACTGCACTGGGCCACAAAATGTCTAGTGGCAGTTTCTGGATAAGCCTTAAGTATATTTGGGAACTAATTTTTTTTTTTTTTTTTTTTTTTTTTTTTTTTGGTGGGGGCTCTAATAAGCCTTAAGCATGTGCAGGAAATAGGAGTTAAATGTAATAAATAATTAAACCAATATAATTTGATTTCATCAGTATATAATAAGAAACAAGACAAAATTTAGTGGAACAACATGTCTTTTGTCATCAATCTCATGATACATAACTAACACTGTATAGTGGCTTCTAGCTACGCTTTATGATGATAGCTGTGACTTTGAAGGTTTTCAGATATTGCAAACTAAAATTCTGCAATTAATGAAAGTTGTGAAAAAAACGTGGAAAAGTGGTAATAAATGAAGATGATATAAAAGAAGTTTTTCCAGGCAATGACAATGACACAATCATCAATAAACTAACAGACAGCGAAATCTGTTGTTGAGTTCTAAATACAGAAAATATAATTATAGAAAGTGACAGAAAGGCTGTTGAGAATGAAAAAAATTTCGACTAATAATTTAGTGGAAATTCTTGACACAGCAATTATAGGACTTTAACAATGGATCATTGTAAATGAACAAGAAATTATGTCTATCTATGGAATTAAAGAGAAAGTATAATCACAACTATTGAATCAAATTAAACAACTTAAATTGAATGATCTTCCATAAAACAAATAAATACTGATTTTTTATTATTATTATTTTAATTTTTGATTCATTTAAGGTTATAAATTGCTTCATTAAGTCAAAAACCACTATTTTCAATTTTATAATTTCTACATGTCATCTTACTAGATTACTCTAATGATCTAGTATCCAGAAAAATTCCAAATCTGGAATCGCTGAAGTCCCCAGAAGTCTGAACCTTGGACTTTGTATTGTATAACAAAAAGGGAGGGGGAATGAATGTTCCTAACTATATTTTTTTCTGTTTTCAATTTAGAGCATTAGTATAATTTATGAAATATATTCCTAATGCCATGCATCATGAAATCTCGATTAGGAATTATCATCTCAGCTCTCCTGCTTGTACATTATTATCTGTATAAAAAATTGGTTGCATAATATTCCATGATGAACTATTCTAACTGAAACCAAATAGAAAAATATTTACTGACCTTGACATTTTATCCATCATATTAACTAACTGCATTGCTTCATATTCTTTTTGCTCTTCAGTCATACCTTCCATTGGATTAGGTTGAGGCTCTTGATAACAGCCAAGGACGGGATTAATTCTAATGAAATACAGAATAATCATACATTATTAACATTAATTCTCTTAACTAAATTAATTACATTGAGCACATTTTGCTTTGGATCAAGATCCTACTGAGATAGGAAGGTCCTCTGATTAATAAATATTTAAATAACTATAATCATTCCCAAACAATTCAGTTTTTTCTCCCAACAAACTGATATTCAGCCCTCTAAGCAACCTAGCCGTATAAATACGTTCAAATATTAGGCTGATACTTTTAAGTACACAGACATGCATCTTGAAATATGTCAAGGTACAGCTAAGGTACAAAACATGAGGATCATTTTGAAATTATAATCAAGAAAAAAACATTTACTCATGGCAATTTTGGGAAGTTTAAAGCTTTGGGGACAAATACTTGGCTACTTGGAGGGTTGATTCAAGCTTTCCTTATCACAGCATTTTCTCATATGTATAAATTTGTAATCATAATGTTTATATTTCATTGCTTACATAGTGTTACGAAATCAGGGTTCGTACACATTTCTGCACACGGAAATTAAGTACTTTTAAGGACTTTTAAGGACCATTAATAACAAAAATTAAGGACCTATGAGCAAACGGGAACTGAATAAATTCAATTGAAGATATTATCTATGCCTGAATATCACTTTTGTAATACCATCCTAAAAATAAAATAGATCCCTAAGTAGTGCTAAACATGAATTAATTAACATAATTGTTAATAAGTTTGAGAATAAAATATGCAATTTATCAAGTAGCATTAAATATTTTACACTTATGATAGTTGGTCATATTTGAACGTTTATATCGATTTCCTTCTCTTTTAAGCATCTTTTCTAATAATTAGAGATTTGTCTCAATATGCAAACCAATGCTCTGACTAGTTTCTGCGTGCTTTATCTCCTAACTTGTCAACCTCTCCATAATGTACCTATGAAGGTTTAATTGATCTGGTAAAAGTTAAATAGTCCAAAACCCCGACAGACGTGAAGCATATTATCGATATGTCTGAAATTAACTACAATATCAGACAAAGTTTTAAGAAATTAGAACATAAAGGCATGTTCTGATGCTAACAAAATCAATTACAGCTCAAGGTCACATAATTAAACAGGAACAGTCAAATTCAAACTAATAATGTGGACTAGTGGTCAAAGATTATACAATTTAATTGTAATTTAATCTGGCTCAATAACTCTATCATATGAGGAAACAGAAATGGGAAATTATAGTAAAGTTTGAAATCATAAACAATTGGGTAATTTACATAATAATAACTGCACATATCTTTGAAAAATAATTTCTTTTATGTACTCAGTTTCTTTCTTCAACACATTTGCTTTTCATTTCAGAATTTTAGGATTTAATTAAGGATTTCAGTTATTCTAAAAACCACTAAATGCATTTAGAATGTACAGAAAAAGCGGCTAATTTTATTTCTTTAGTAATATGAACATTCAGAAGCAATATGAAATATATATAGTGAAGGACGGTTACAGAGCTGATGTGGCAGAATTTCTAGAATTTAGTGACACACCGAACAACAAAATCTAGAAATGGCAAAACTTAGAATTTAGAGCAAGCATTGGAAGCAGAATTTAGAAAGGCAGTAAGCAGCAGAATTTAGGATCCACAGAGATTGCATCAGTAAGAAAATGCCTTGTGCCAGCTATGTGTATGATGCTTTAAGCCATATTAGATTAATCTTTTAAATTGCAAGTTTTAAATTTCTTTATTAATAAAAAAATCCCTTTCTATAATGCCTGCCCATGTGATAAGAACAGAAGCATTTTTGATATTTTCCATGCTTTTGTCTAGAGAAAAGTAGAGAAAATAAAGAGAAGATATACATGTTCAGATTCTAGTATCAGAAGTAATACATTCAAATATTATGTTTTCATTGTTCTTCCAGATGTTCTCCCAAAATTAAGAAATTCAATGCAAACTTTCTGTAAAATACATCCACTACGTGTTGACACCATGGAGACATTTTTTATTTTGTCACAGATTTCTCAAAACTTCTAGAATCGTGGGTCTATAAATCTTGCCTTCAAATCCTTCTAAACTTTCCAAGCTGCAACGTTTAAAATCCTAAAGAAAAATTATCCCTACCATTTCTCTAACAGAAAAAAAGCCAGAAATATTTTGAAAAAATGTAGGAGGGAAAAAGTATAAAGTTAATTTTATAGAGAACACTGATGTAAATTCTGAGAATTTTGAATATTCTGAGAAAATGAGAAATGGGAAAAACTCTTACTATGAAAAAATTAAAAACAAGACATTTTTAATTAATTACATAGCTAATGTTGCTTTTGCTAACAGCTGTTTCATAAATTGTGGTTTATAGCATCATACCTTGTTTATTTTTCAGATTTAAAATTATACCTTGTTTATTTTTCAGATTTAAAATATTTTATAAGTTGCCAAAATGAAACTTTATAATATGACAGCAAAAAATAAAAATGTTTTATTTTAATGTTATTTTTTATATATAATTTCAATATATTACCATTATTTCAATAAAATTTATCAATGTTACGATGTTTTAAAAAAATCGTAGAAAAATTCTCAGATTTTGGAATTAAAAATTTTCTATAGAAACTAATCTTAAAATCGCCAAAATGTTGAAAAGTCGCCAAATTTAGAACCTTTTAATAAAAGAATTCACATCCTCAAAAGCAAAAAGTTGTTTAAGAGACACTAGAAAAAATTACTAGAAATTTACTAGAAAAAATGAAATGCTTATGTTTCACTTCTTGCTTAGAAACTCGAGTATCCCATCATTTATATTAGAAATAGAAACAAATTATAACTCTTGAACCCATTCAAAAGATTACCATATATACGGCAGCGAATCGCCAAAAATATTCCTCAAAATGCTAATTCACACTCAAAATGACAGTCGTAAAAACAAGACAGAAATTTCAGATGATTAAAATTAAGGACCTTCTGTTGATTTTGGCCAAAATTAAGGACTTTTAAGGACCAAAAATCGATTCCAAAAAATCTAAGGACTTTTAAGGATTCTTAAGGACCGTACGAACACTGGAAATGTAAAGGCGCGATGAGATGGCTTCCACGCAAAGCAGTTTTAGAGTTGCCATAAAATAACAAGGAGGACAGGGTTGTCACATTTGGCAACAGAATTGGCGATATACCATGGACGGTTGGAGAACCTGGAACGAATTCTTACCAGTTTAGTCCAGAATGTTCCCGAACACAAGCCGAAAGCTATATAAACCGCGCTGGTCTGCAGTCAGAAAGTGTGTCTCTCATCGAGAGGGAAATTGTGCCTCATCGAGAGGAAGTGTGCGTCTCTCATCGAGTGAGTGTGTCTCGTCTAGCAAGTCAATCCCTGTGGAGGCGATCGCGTTGACAGCCGGCCAACAAGTGCCGAGTGGGTCATCGAGTTCACCGAAGGAGTCTCGTAGTCTATCGCAGTTAGTGCATCGTCGAGAGAGCGTGTTGAGCTCCGGGAAAGACTGTACCAAAGAGTCAGGAGCTGTGCTCGTGTGTTGTCGAGTGCATCGCGAGTTGTAACGTGGAGAGTCTCGAGAGTACATGGAGTTCCGAGAACGACCGAGCAGAGTCAAGAGTACGTGGAGTTCCGAGAACGACCGAGCAGAGTCGGGAGCTGTACCCCGGAAAGCAGAGTCGGCTGCTTTCCAGGAAGCTGTCTCCACTGTGATAGCCTGATAACCTGAAGGCTGTGTCGCTGATCGTCTCAGCATGTTTATAGATCTTCGATGACTGTAAAATGTGTTTTGGAGCTGTCCTGACAATACTGGCAAATAAATTGTGTTTCGATACTTCCTAAAGTGTCGTTGTTATTCACTCCAAATCTACACGAACCCCGTACGAACGTGAAGGAAGAAATAACGCAACAACTGGTGTCAGAAGCAGAATATGAAAAACGTAACTGGTGTCAGAAGTGGGGGTTTGAGGGTGAATGCCAGTGACAAGAGCAATGGAAGAACTAGTAACATAGCTCGTGACTGTCTTTGCTGAAATCCAAGAAAAGAAAATCGTAACAATTGGTACCAGAAGTGGGATTTGCGAGTGAATGCCAGTGACCCGCCTGCAGAGGAAAGCCATGGCGGAGGAAACGAAGACTTTGATGGACTTCTTAGCCGAGATAAAGGAAGAGATTAAAGCCGGACAGAAAGAGGTGAAAGACATGAAATCCGGACAGGAAGATATGAAAGAGATGAAATCCGGACAGGAAGAGATGAAAGCCGGACAGGAGGAGATAAAGGCTGAAATCAAAGCCGCACTGAAAGAGATGAAAGCCAGACTGGAAGAGAAGAAAGCCCGGCGAAAAGAAATAGATGTCGGTGAAGAAAAAGTACAAGAGCAAATCCAACAGGTGAAAGTGGAGTTTACAGAAGAAACTAGCGCCATAAAAGACGACGTGAATATGAGAGAAGTGGCTTCTGGAGAATCAAAGGGTGAAGAAATGAAGGCAGTAGCTAACAAACTGCCTGAGAAAGATCAAGAAATGAAGGATGAAGCATCTAAAAAACGGGATTAAAGATAAAGAACGAAAACATGAAGAAATAAGAGACGGAAAAGTAGAGTTTGATTCTCAAGAGCCTGAAGTGGAAGAAAGTGAAAATGTGACTGTTAATTTCTTCGAAACTGATAGTGAAGTTATGAAAATGCAGTCAGTAAGTGTTGAACCATCTGAAAGTGCATGTGATGCAGAGCTGGAAGATGCTGAAGTGCAGCTTAAGCAGTGCGCTCCAGTATTGCAAGAAAATTCACCCACTTCACAAACTGGGTGTGTGCTTCATAGTGCAGGTTTTGTAGACAAGGACTTGATTCCAAACCTGGATATTTCTGCTTGTAAAGGATCGGATTCTATTCATGAACCTGGTGCAAACATCGGTGCTGGTTTTCAGGAAATAGAGGTAAATAAGCATGTACCATCTGCTAATGATACCGAGGTGAACTATTCGCATGCTGTAAATGATCTACATAGTGGTGTACGAAATGTTTTAGATTTTCCTGTGGATGAAAAGCCTAAAGGAACTGAATCTTCAGACTGTGATATGCAAAACATCAATATGTCTGAGAACTGCAGTGGAAACGTATTTGACACGGGTATATTTTAATGAATAGACAGGGACTGAAATTAGACTTTAATTTGATATTAGATTTTAGATTTAATTAGAGATTAGATTTAATTTTAGATTTTAATTTGTATAATTTAAAATTGTTATGCGTTTAATTTGTGTATATGACTTACACATACTGTAAATATCTGTTTCTTTAGTTATGTTATTTATTTATATCTTATGTTTGTTTCAAAACGATTTGATTGTATCAAATTAAGCTTCTGACCATGGGTTGTACTGCCAGGACGTGCAGTCCTTGGGAGGGGGCAGTGTTATCAAATGTAAAGGCGCAGTGAGATGGCTTTCCCGCAAAGCAGTTTTAGGGTTGCCATAAAATAACAAGGAGGACAGGGTTGCCATATTTGGTGAGAAATAGCCCATTTGGCGACAAAATTGGCGATATACCATGGACGGTTGGAGAACCTTCTGGAACGAATTCTTACCGGTTTAGTCCAGAATGTTCCCGAACACAAGTCGAAAGCTATATAAACCGCGCTGGTCTGCAGTCAGAAAGTGTGTCTCTCATCGAGAGGAAGTGTGTGTCTCTCATCGAGTGAGTGTGTCTCGTCTAGCGAGTCAATTCTGTGGAGGCGATCGCGTTCTGAGTCATAATATACAGGATCAAGAATGTATAATATTGTGCTTCTGTAATTGCCAAATAATATCATAAAAACTGTGCCTTTCGTTGACTTTTTACACAAAAAAAATAACACACCCCTTAGCATGAATATCCAATTTCCATTTTCTTGAATGAAATTTATTGGCATCTTGAGAAATTATCATTGCATTCAATTCAGTTTATATGAGTTATTGGTATATGACAATGCACTGTATAAAGTGGTCTTTATGCAATATTTTTTTCAAACTTTAATAATTAACAACTCAGATAAATTCTACATTTTTCAATTACAATACTTTTATTTCCCACTTAATTTACTTAAAATTAGACACTAAATTCAAAAGTATAAAAAAATAAATATAACAAACTATTATATTTAATAAAAGATTTGAAGTTATTATCACTTACATGAAAATAAATGCACATAATATTAAACGAAATGAATGTCCCCAGTATTTCATGAAAACGAATGAAACAAAATCGATTTTCTTTTTCATAGATTAATGAAAAATGCAAAAGCATGTTAAGTGCTTTAAAGAAAATTTATACTAAAATTTTTTTCATTTTAAAGTCAAAATTAACCAGCTGTTTTATTCAAGAAAATAAATTAACTAAATTGACCAATTACATTACCCTTATCAATACAGCAGTGACTGCAATCCAATTTCAAAAATCCTAAAAAACTACCATGAAACAAAAATTCTACATAATTTCAAATAATTCAGAATAGAATATTCATTTGAAATACATATACAGTACAATGTCCGAAACCAGAATGTTCAATATCTGCACATCCAACAGATGTGCCGTAAATGTGATTGATTTTTCTCTGGACTAAATGGCATTTATGCATGTCATATTCAAACACCTGTTAACTAGGGAAAAGGCATCACTGCCAATGGAAATATACTGATTGACATTGCATTGAATTTTTACCAGGATCATACTTTTGGCCCTTTAATGGATTTGGGGTGTGTTAGCATGTTTCTATCTGATCTAAACAATAAAGGAAACCCCAATGTAGCTATGTTTAGATTTACAAGATTTAAACTGATGATCTAAAATCCAGACGAATCCAAAATCTGGACTTGCTAAAGTCTTGACGATTTCTCATCTCGGATTTTGTATTGTATTTGCTTACACTAACATTTCCAAATAATTTCATGAAAAGGAAGAAGTATATATTTTTTATATGATTAAAAATTAATTTAAGTTTCACTACACCATTTCACACAGTTGCCAACCATTTTGGTCTCTTAGCATTTTAAAAAATATTTGCAAAGTTAAGCTTGCTTTTTATTTTTTTTTGGGGGGGGCAGATGCAGTTTCTAGAAACCAGCTGCATTTATATTTTTTTTTTCCCACTAACAGTTGAAAGTTCAATATGATCAGCAATATATTTTGATACAGACATTGGCTTTGTTGCAAAAATCCCTAAATTATTAGAGAGTGCTTCTCTAATATTTGGCATAATATTTTGGTGATATACACTGGGAATAATGAAAACTTTTGTGCTGCTGCCATCTCAAAGTTATGTAAACCATTTGGAATATGATATACTGTTTTCAGCGATGTTTTTTTGCCCAGTGCCACATAAAAATGGAATTCACACTTCGTTACATTTTGGAATAAACAAGGTTAAATCTTAATCTGCCACAAAGTAAGCTTTACTGTTCTTTACTGTTAAGGGATAAAATTTGTACTGTAAATTACTTCTAACTCCTTCTTAATGTATTTAAAATTAGAAGAGAAACTTAAATAAGTGAAAATATCAAGTTAATTTGAAAGAATAGTTGGAAATTGATTTCATGAAGGCTAAATGAGTTGCTCTTAGATCTCTTAAAACAAGATTTATTTCAAAAATTGATTCTAAAATTTTAGAAAATAAAACATGTTTTTGAACATGAACATGTGTTTCACATAAATTTGAAATTCAGCATCAAATTACAAACATTAAAAAAATCAAAACTAAAATTATTAAGTGTGATGAGTATCATGAAAAGCTGATTAATTCCACGTGTAATCTAATTCACTAACTACTGATACCAACAGTTTAAAATCCTTAAAGAAAAGCTATAAATTAAAATGATAGAATTTTTTACTTGTCTTTGAATCTCAGATATTCTTCTGTGTCACTATCTTCAGATTCACTTGAATAAACAGTATTATTAACTTTTCCTCCAAGCATTAAACCTCTGTTAGCAAGCAAACCAGCAGCATTTCCATAACCAGTATATTTGATTAATCGTCCAACTAATAACGAAAAACAAAATAGCATCATTAGTGCCAACTTTTTTCTAATTAAGTCAATGAAAGCATAAAATTGATTTCAACTCATGTCTTGCAAATTGTTTCTGAAGTATTTGATACAATGCACATTTATTTATTCATAAAATATTATTATTTAAATTTGTCAAAAATTAGCAGAAATAAAAAAACTTTTTTAACATTAAAAAAAATCTTAAATCTGGTAAGATGGCATGCAGAAATTAAATAAAATATGAAACCGTAATTTATGAAATAAAGAACAATTATTGATCTAAAGGGTATCAAAATTTACAAAAAAAAAAGCTTAATTATTTATTTGTTTACTTTATTAAACATTTCTTCAATGTAAGTTGTTAAGTTGATTCGTTTTTATGTGAAAATACATTCTCTTAATTCTATAAAAAACAGACATAATTTCTTGTTCAGTTACAAAGTTCCGCTGTTCAAGTCCTATAATTGCTGTGTCGAGAATACCGACTAATTTGTCAATCAAAATTTTTTCGTTTTCAATAACCTCTGTGTCACTTTCTTCGCTATCGGAAGCGAATTATAATGACGAGGAATTTGATTTAAATCATATCAAAGACGGAGTACATCGAGATGAAATACTACATTTAGTAAGGAATTATAAGCCAAATAAAATAAAAACATCTGCCCTGAAGATAAGGATAGTGCTGACAGATCAACTTCCAATTCATTGCACACCGCCGCCGCCGCAGCGTTGAAGATAAACAAAGATTAAAGTTTAGATAAACAAAGGATATGCCCTTATCCATTTTTTGCAGCAATTCCACTTTCTGTTTAATGGACTTCGAAACATACTTTCGCTTAGTAGATCCTTTACATATTAGTAAATATATATCAGAAATTCTATTTGACATAATCAAAAGTTCAAGCTTACTTTTATAAAATTGCTCTAACAGTCTGCAAAAAGTAATAAGCCGAATCCAATTCGAAGATTAAGGAACAACGCAGTCTGCAACATTAACTGAATTAGATAATTTTAGCTTAGCTTATACCGTCTGTTATACATTAAACGCGCATTCGTAAATGTATTTTGTGCACACGCGTATTCGCAGCCATAAAAATCTTATGCGCATGCGTCGTTTGTAGCTTTGAGGTCCGGATTATAGATCATTCCAGATTATGGGTGTCCGAATTAACGACTTTTGACTGTAACTATTATGAGAAAATTATATAATTTTCAAATTTTGCATGAAATTGCCAAATTTACGGCATATTATCATAATGTTTTATGGTTTCAGTACACATCAGCCATATTAAAAATAATCAGTGACAATTAAACTTATCTCTACAAAAAAAATTTTTCTTGCTATTAATTTGCATACTACATTTGAATGGATCACACGTGCCTGTATAAAACGGGCTTTCAACTACCGAATTTAAAATTACTTTTAAAATAACAGTTGCAGAAATAATTAGCAAAAGACAGTTTAAAAGTTACTTTTCTTCTCTCAGCTACAAATTTTCTAGAAATAGTTTGTATCATAAGTTGGTTATAATTGCCATTTGATACAAATTTTACTGTTTTATTAACTGGTTTCCAATATTGTCAGATAAGTAGTATATTTCTTGTCTATGGAGAGTAAATTCTCAGTTCAAGATTTCATATACTCATTAATAAGTCTTTAATTTGCATCCTTAAAAAATCTATTCAGCATGCAATTTTATGAAATTTTAAAATGTTTTCTTAACAGAAACCATCAATGTGTTACTGCACTATATGTCTGCAACTGTTAATTTTTTTTTCATTCTTATAATAATTATTATTACTAATACCAGTCTCAGTATTACACCTGATTTAAATAAAGCTGGTTTTTAACAAGACATATAACAGAATATGGTGAATTTTATAACACATTTATGCACTCCTTGTTTACAATTTATAACATGTTATGAAACATTTCAGGAAATATAAATTTAAAAATATGTGAAATACCAAATAACAAAACATAAATGACACACAATCATTGAAATCAGTAAACAGGTTTCAAAGTTTATGCCAAAATCTTACTAACAAATTCTTGTTTTCCCCATGTATCCCTTTCACCACTGTCAGAAGATCATGACCCTCCCTTTCCAAAACTCGAAAAATGCATATAGAGTAAGAGACCCATTTAACGAGAGAAATATGTTACAATGAGTTTCAGCACTAAATGAGGTCATCTTAACAAGCAAATAACGGGAATAAATAAAACTGAACAAAAAATAAGAAAATTTATCAGTTTTTTAAAACTGTGTAACATCTATTGTTAAATATTTTTATTAGATTAATTATAGACTTTTTATTGCTAATATCAAATTTTATTCATAAAATATTCATAAAAATCAAGAACAAGTTTGTGTATGTTCATGATGAGGAATGCTCTTCTTCATTTGACTTTTTGTGTGTGTGTGTGTGTGTGTGAGAGAGAGAGAGAGAGAGAGAGAGAGAGACAGAAGTATCTAGCATCAATCGTCTTTTTGTTTTGTTCAGCAAGTAGTTTTTGATATGTTGTTCATATATATAAAAAATGCTGATTAAAACCAAAAGCTTATAAAAGTAGCTTTTTTTTATATTTATGGTGATGTTTTAAAGCAATTATACTCCAGACTCCTTAGAAGGTCATTAAAAAAAAAACACAACTTCAAGAGGCTGAATATTTAAAATAAACCCAATCGCGAGCTGACATCAACCATCCAGTACGAAGAAGCAAAAAGTGAGTCGCTCGGTGAAAAAGTTCAAGTTTTTGTCCTCACCTTATGGCAAGCAAGCATGCACATTGTGCAGCAAAAATGGACATTGCAACTTGCTACAATGAGAATGTGTTCACCATAACATCCCCCCCCAACATGATGGAGGAATAATGGGTCAAAGGTGCGATGGTTAAACTTGATCCTTCTAATAAACCATGATGCAAGGCCTGTATTCCAAAAAGGTGGTAATTTTACTGAAACAAGGAATACTTGCATAGCTGCTACATTTTCTGTTAGAAAATTATCAGTAGAATTTTCATTAAGCAGCATGACTGTTAAAATTTTGAGGAGATATATACCACCCAGATGGTATAGTGGTTAGGGAAGCCGACTGCGATAGCAAAAGGCCCAGGTTTGAATCCCAGAGAAGGCATGGTTGTAACTGTCCATCCCTTCAAGGAGGCAAAGATAACCCACCTATTAGGTGCCTCCATAGAAAAGAGATCACCACTTCCAACCTTAGTTGTGGCCAAAGCTGAAGTCGGTTGAAGGCCCGCCATTGGGGAGAAAGGGGAAGAGGAGATATATGGTTCAAATTACAAATACTTATAAGACAAATATTATTTGAAAAAAATCGAAATTTGCAAAGTACAAAAACAATTTTCTAGAATAAATATTATAAATACTATCAATAAAAATACTCACAGAAAATGAAATATAATTCACAACTATTGATACTAAAGCATGATGTAAAAGGAAAGAAGACCCTATGAAACTATACCTAATGGGTATAGTTGCATTAGGGATACACACGAGAATGAAAATGCATGAATATTAACAAAACATAAAATATTCACTTCATAAAAATATACTGTATACATTATTAATAAGAAAAAACCAACTTTAAAAACCATAATGGAAAAAGTTTCTTTTAAAAAATTCATTTCAAAGATATCCTAAAAATATTTCAAAAATCCATTTGTAGAGTCATTATTATTATTGTTATTTTAATCAGCTGACAAGAAAAATGAGCAGTGCCCTCGCTGGGACACAAACCTGGATCTCTCGAATACACACCGAGTGTGCTACCATTACACCATGAAGGCATGCTGGAAAGAGAGAGGGAATACTTTATATATTCTCCCTTTTAAAGAGCAATTGGGGATTAGAGGACCCAATCACCAAATCTTAGAGGTGATGAATTATTTTCCACCACCTTTTAGTTCAGTCGCCAATTGTAGAGTCATTAGGTATTTTTTATCCTGAAGACATGACAAATGTGCAGTGGCCTCGTTGGGATTCAAACTCCAGATCTCCCAAATATTCAACAAGTATGCTTACAATTACACCATGAAGGCATGCAGAAAGAAGGGAGAAAATATCTTATACATTTAGATTTATCAGTTAAAATTCCTTTTTTGGGGGGGGGTAACACTTACTTTTAAATTCAAGAGAGCAATCGTGCAAAAAAAAAAAAAAAAAAAAAAAAAAAAAAGCTGCTTAATCCTGCCTGGATTCCACAAGACCCAATAATTAAAAAAAAAAGTAATCCAATGTCAGCGCCGACACACAAAGTCATGAATATACTTTCACTAATATAGTCCTGAGTTATAGCTCCATGAAAGAATCATTTGTTACCGACGTAATACTGATGTGAAAACGCACAATTTATTCAGCTTGCTCAGAAAAGTTCACTCTAGTTGCACATAAACTGCAGCACAACTTCAACGTTTATAGTTCAACAAACAATTCAAAACCAACTTTATTTAACATTTAAAATCACTTTTATAGTGAAACATAATAATTTTTATTAAAGCAAAGAATTAGAGAACTAAAATAGAAAAACTAAAATATGATAAACTTTCATTAACTCAGAACCATATAATTCAAAAAAATACTAAACTTCCAAAAATATCAATCAAATAAAACGATTTCTAAAACACTTTTCATAATACAAACTATTTTGCAAGTATATGTGAGTTCAAATCAATACAAATTCATAGTTGAAATTTTGAAACCATTTAATAATAAATTTTAAAAATACTATTTTAGAAATTAAAATGAATCATAAAAAAACAATAATTAAAATGAATTATTTGATTAAATAAGTTCCTCTGCAAAGAAGAATATTTACTCAGGCATAAAGTAGTTATATATATATATCTACAGGGTGATTCATGAAAAAGTGTACATTTTCCAGATGCTGTAAAACAATGTTAGTCAAGGTAGACATACCATTAAAGTTTGTGTCTAGACCCTGATGAAAATGACACGAATGTCATGTGACTAGTCAGTCGAAATAGTGACATCTGAAGTGGAGAAGGCTTATTGTGTTCTTGAATTTAGCAAAACGGATTCCACAACTGCATTTTTTATTACAATTCCAAAAAGAACCTTCAATTCTATATATCAATACATCTAACATATCAATGGTATGAAAATTTTAAAACTACGGCTGTTGTGTAAAAGTTCTGGACCACCAACTGTACGACTGTATCCCAAGAAGTCATCAATAGAGTTTGCACTGCCATTCAATGAAGCCTAAGAAAATCAACGGAGGGTGAGTCATAAAGTGCAGATTTCTCAGCCCACTGTCTGGAGAATTTTGAGAAAAAATCTGAAAATGATTCTATACAAAGTGCAGGCGTTGCAAAATCTGAGTGACTTTGACAAACAAAAGCACTTTAAATTTTGTGCTGATACGCAGCTTCATTTTTAAAATGACAATTTTTGCCGATCGTTTAGTTTTCACCAATGAAGCAACATTTCCTGTCAATGGGAAGGTAAACAAGCATAATGTTCACTTTTGGAGAACAGAGAATCCCAAATTCACAGTACAACACAGGCGAGATTCCTGTAAGGTAAATGTTCTGTGCAGTGTCCAAACAGAAAGTGCTTAACCCTTTCTTTTTTCATGAGCAAACTGTCACAGGAGTCACTTCTGTGGATGTGTTAACTCTTTATTGATGCCACAGTAGCAGCACGACATTGACAACTTCCTTCTCCAACTGGATGGTGCACAGCCACATTGGTCAGCCTACATGTGAGATTAGCTCTATAAACATCTCACTCACCAATGGATTGGATGAGCCACAGACTACAACATGTCCCATACCGAAGACCTGACTTAATACCTTGCAATTTCTTCCTGTAGGGTACCTAAAAAAGAAGGTATTCGCCCCTCCCCTTCCTGTTGATCTAGGGGAGCTCAAACAGTGTATCACAGCTGCTATCAATGAACTTGATTCAGATATCTTAGCACGCATCTGGGCAGAAATGGATTTTTGGCTTGTTATGTGTTATGTGACTAAGAGTTCACACCTAGAACATTTGTGTCTGCCTCTAACAAATCTTAGAGTAATCCCATACAGTTCTGTTACAGGTAACATATAATATCTTACATTGTTCTTGATTTATAGTGCATTGAAGGTGTATACTTCTTTATGAATCACCCTGTACATATACAATATATATCTACTATTGCAAGAAGACCGCATGTTCCATTTTCAGGTATGTAAAATATTAGAGTAAGAAGTAGCACACTACTTGCTCTTAAAAAAACCTTCTAATAATATTACATATATCATTAAAATTTTGAAGATTAATCTGACAAAATAGTACAAAGTCTGAAATCCGAATGTCCATTATCCGGAATAATCTAAAATCTGGACCTCAAAACCATCACCATTTTCTCATAGTCTTCTTTACGCATGCACATTTGATCCCCCCCCCTCTGTGCATAATAAAACATCTGGAGAATCCCAAGTCTTAATTTCACTTCGACACTAAATAAAATACCTAGTTACTGAAGAAACAATCATTTTAGCATAAATTTGTATGATCAGTAATTTGGCTCCGTTGCTGCGCTGCTTGGCACGCATCTCAAACTGAAACATTCCACATAGATACATCGTTTGGCGAATCATTATTTATTATACTTTCCTTTCATCACTTCATGTTTATCAAAACATGACAACTTGAGTAATGACTCATGTAGTGGTGCCTAAACCATTTTTTTATGTTAGTAATTGAATAATAAAAGGAGTACGGTAACCTTTTATGTTGACATTACGCTTTCGCGATAATTACAGATTTAAGTTAAAGGTGCTAAAAAAAATTGACGAGGAAAAATTTACCAAAAATTTCTTTCCATATGCTAAAAATAGATTTTGTTGATGATACTCATAGACCCAAAGATTACATTTAGGGCTATTTTTTAAATAAAGAATAACAGATTTAAACGCAGAGCCAGCGCCTGGGCTTGTATGGCCGCTCCGAGTCACAGAATGTAGGACCCACAAAGGCTGCATCAGGCAGTAAGGTATCTAGCACCGGCCCTCAATAAGGCTTAAGTATATGTGGGAATTTATTTATTCAGAACTCTGATAAGCCTTAAGCATGTGCAAAAGAAATAGACATAAGTATAGTAAATAAATTAACTAATACAATTCAGGCTTAGATGTTTCAGTGCGCAATAGAAGCAAGATAAAATTTAACAGAACAACTTGTCGTTAGTCGCCAATCTCATGATGCATAGCATAACTAAATATGTATAGTGAAGGATAGCTAAATTTGATGATGATAGCCGCTAATTTTAAAGATTTTTGGATATCACAAAACAAAGGTGAAATCTTCCAATTAATAACGGATTTTGTAAAGAAATGTAGGAGGAAGCTGGTAATAAAATGAAGATGAATATAAAAGAAGTTTTTCATTGTGATGACAATACTTCTCAATTAGCAATCAATGAACGGCGAAAATCTGTAGTATGGTTCCAGATCCAGAAAATACCGCTACCCGAATATTAGAAGAAAGTGACAGAGAAGTAAGTGAAAGCGAGAAAATTTCTATTGACAAGTTAGTCGGAATTCTCTAAACAGCAGTTACAGCACTTCAAAAATGTAACTGAACAAGAGATTATGTCTGTCTACAGAATTAAAGAAAAAGTATTAGCACAAAAAACGAAGCAACTTAAACAACTTACATTGAAAGAAATGTTTAATAAGGTAAACAAATATATATTAAGCTTTTTTTTTTTTTTTTTTTGTAAATTTTGATACCCCTCTAGATCATAAATATTTCATTATTTCATAAATCACGATTTCATATTTTTAATTTTATAATTTATACATGCCATCTTACTACATTTGAACTGATGATCTAATATCCAGAAAAATTCCAAATCCAGAATCACCGAAGTCCCGACAAGTCCGGATTCTAGACTTAGTACTGTATTAATTTTCATTATGAAGCAAGATTGCTAATTAAATCAAAATGTACAACTAAATTACCTACTCTCTGATTATCTGTGATACCACCCAAAAGCTACTACAAAGTATTTATATCACAATCTATGAGTCAGCCAAACACGATGCTACAGCAACTCACAATGTTGTAGAAAAGTATTTATGTGGCATCCCAAATATGCGTGTTTGAGTCATGTGGATTTACTTTTTGGACAGTAACGCAATTTTTTTTTTTTTTTACTAACATTTCTTTTTGCACTGAGTGAGTGATCACGGCTGATCCACAATGCTGAGATTTTCCAATTCTTTGATCTTAAGTAAAAACAGATCACTATAAACATGGGGAGAACAAAAGCACACAAAATTACAAAAGGATTTCTCTAAGATAAAATAGATACTGAATGTAAAGATATTAATAGATAGATGTAAAGATACTGAAGCAAACATTTATCTCCAAACTTGCCAGAGTTGATGAATACTCTTCAAAGTTGGCAATGACTTTTCAGTGGGGGTGCAGATAATCAGAAAGTAACAAATGTTTTTATTGTTTAAATATGTATATAAAAACAAATCCAAAACATTTACTTACCATTTTCTTTACATAAAACAAACAAGAAGTCAGCAACTAGCTCTTTAACATCAAATACAGGGGAGGTCATTAACTTGACTAATCTACAAAACAAATGTCTATGATATGTCAGTGCTAAAAAATGAACAACATGATAATGCTATGAAGTTTCAGGGAAAAAATTATTTCTACATTAAGTACTCGCTAGTTTCAAGTGAAGTTAAAGTCTGGAAAATCTCATTTAATAAGAAACTGTCTCTGAAATATTTTCAGTACCTCAAACTACTGATAATTCATGCAGTTTTGCTAGTCCCTAAAAGTCTGAATTAACGAGAATCCATATTAGTAAATTATAAATCTTGACTTCTAAAACGCTAAACACAAGTAAATCTGTTTACATATAAAACAAATTTAAATGAAATATGAACAGTCCATAACATCTATAAATGATCAGGGAATGCAAAATACAAAATCCAAGGATTCATAGAGTTCAGATAAGCTTTAAACATTCTTTATATATATATATGAAATATAAAATTATGCAAACTAAGAATTATTATATATTGTCAAAGACAGTATAAATCCTTTTTAAATATACCTTTAAAAAGGTATAACTTTTCACTTTTGCTTATAGCTTAATTTTTATGTTTCCATAGGAATATTAAGAAGTACATGTAAATGTCCACAAAATTATTAAACATACAGATTTTTAACATCTACATCAGAACCTTGATTCTAATTTAAGATAAAAGAATCAGAAATGTATTAAAACTGAAATTTAAGAAATGCACTAAAATTTAGCATCCCTTCAAAGACATTTTTCTTATTTATAATTTTAATTAACTTCCACTACTTTTTCAGACATAATTCTCAGTTCTTGTATATTCAGACTTTCTAACTGTCTGACTCAACGCAAAATTAATTTTACAGTCAATTTTCTGCATCCGCAGTTTGACAATATTCGATTCTCTAGAATCATCAACGATTGTAAAGTTTACTTCCCAGCTGTACACACCATACACATAGTTGCATTTAAATATCAAAGAACCTTAACCCCTTCGCGGCGGGTAGCGCAAATGCACGCTTATTGCGGAGGCTGGCAGTGTCTTACGCGAGCGTCTTGTCCAGGGCTGGGGGCTTTTTTGCTATTAAGCCTAATTCCATGAAATTTCCGATTTATTGTTTAATAATGCTCTATAGAGTATTTAAATGGCTTATACTTTATAGATATTTTTATATATACTTTAATTACCTTATTTCTTGTTTAAATGCATATTTTACACATTTTATTTTCATTACTCACCATTTTATGACTTTTAACATTATACATCTGAAAACTAAATATATTACTTAAAATTCTCTTTTCGTATGAGAAATTTGAAAACAGGATCTACACAGTCCTACGTTACATTCCTTGCACTCGTAATAATGACATTGATGATGAGAACATTAATTAATTACAGATTAATGATGATTTGGACAATTCGGCATACAGATGTTGCAACGGTAGAAACAGAAAGAATTCACGTCTAACAAGATCTAATTATTTTCTAAAAACTGAACTGCAAACCAAAATACCCAACGCTTTAGAGAAAATAAAACTTCTCTACTTACAATAAACAACTACCACTTGTGAATTTAAAGAGACATCATAAATCACGCCATTCGGAAACATTTATTTCCCCTTTTGTTTATATAATCAAAAACACGTGTATGTGAGTCATGCTTCTCTCATTTCGAGTAGAAGGTCTAATGCACATGTATCTGAAACCATATGGACATACAGTGCCATCTTGTGGCAGAAATTATAGTTTTTAAAATGTTCCAGGACACTGGCACAAATGTGTGACAGTCGGTGCTGAACGGGAAAATGCTCTGGCACGCCTGCGTGTCGGCTGGGAAGTGAGTGTGTTCGTTGCTGGCACGTAGATGTGACAGTCGGCGCGAAGGGTTTAAGCAACTTGTTAACTAACCACCATGAAATAGATGAGACAGCAGAATGACATTGCAAGTCACCAGTTTACAGTACTTATGTAGATTCTCATTATCAGCACATAATTACTGACAACCTGAACATCATACAAAACCATCAACTAAAAACACTAATGAGTTATGGTGCAAAATTTAGACCAGTCAGAAGCATAACTAAAAATTACTGTTGCATGACTTTCGAAAACAACATCAACGAATTTATAGTTAAAGCAAGCTATCAACTGAATTTACCTATAAATACCTTTTTAAAATGGAAAGATGAAATTCTTCAACACATGTCCACCGAAATCAATCACCTCAAGTTTAAAAGTACATTGAACTGGTCGCAACTTACATCAAATATTAAAAATTTTAAAAAACTTTTTACTATTACAAAAATAGATAAAGCAAAAAATAACTTGCTTTATATGAAAACAATTCTACACAGAAATTATTCATAAAGAACTTTTCAACGCAACTACTTAATTAGCAAACCTTACAGAAACATCTATAATAAACAGAATTAAAACTTTTCATAAAAAACTAAACATTACTTTAAATCCAAGCTACAACAGATTTACTAACCTCTATGCACTTCCCAAATTTCATAAAACACCATTAAAATTGAGATTTATAGCAAATGGAACTAATAATTACAAGAAAAATGTAGACTATTATTTTTCAATTCAACTTAAAAAAATCTGTAAATTTATTTTCAACGATTGTAACACTAATCATAACTATTGCTGGATCATCCATAATAACACTCCTGTCATTAATGCCATTCAAACAATTAACATACAGAACATTAACTGCTATGACTTTGAAAACTTATATACATCACTTCCTCTAGAAGAAATCTATACTAGTCTACTAGATCTGCTTAACTCTTCCCTGATATGCTCACGATTATGAATCTTAACAAATGGAAAACCTACCTAAAATGCACACTTTTTCATAACTACATCAAATTTCAAAATCAACTTTTTAAACAAGTCAGAGGCCTACCAATGGGATCTCATTCCAGTACCTCGCTCTGTAATATCTTTTTATTTGTCAAAGAATTTAACTTCCAAAAAATCTACAACCACAAGAATTAAATTACTACAAGCACACTTACAGATATATTGATGACCTTATTACAATTAATAATTTTAATAAAATTGAACACTCTGAGATTTATCCAAATAATAAAACTAATAATGCACAAAATAGCACAGACTATCTAGATCTTCAAATCGTTAACTACAAAAGAATTTTACTTTTTGACAAACAAGAAACTTCAATTTTAATACTAACAAATTAATAAATTAGAATTCCAACATATCCAAAAAAGTAATTAACAATACAATAATAAATCAAATACAACAAATTAAAAATATCTGCACAGATACGATAGATCTACAACGCGAAATTTTGCTCCTTATTAAAATTCTCAAAAATAATCTAATACCTAATCAATTTATTAACCATTGCCTCAAAAGAGCAGGCATTAAATACTCACTCTAAATCATTTAACTGATAGGGGTATGACAATTTGTTCCTAAACCTGAGAAGGTGGTATAAGTTGGATGACTATCAGTTGAAGGATTTATACATAGTGTAATTACAAAGCTGTATATAATGTAAAAAGCTAATTGTCTTCAGACTTATGCTGTTACTAAAAAAATTGGCCTATTTCATAATCTTTAGTCTGTCAAATAGCTCTTTGACAGTGAAAATTCCTTTTTTTCCTTTTCTTAATTTCTTCCTCATTACGATACGACAATTAGCCAGAAATTAATTAATTTCCATTCACTAGTATTTTCAAAAATTTTAACAGATGGTTTCACTCAAATAAGAACTCCACAACATATGTCCCTCAAGAATTCCTAGTCACTCCCACTCCCATAAATTACTTCACACAAGTCTCACCGACTGATATAATTCAAAGCCCCTGCTGCCGATAAAGAATTTCGGAAACACAACCCTTCCGAGTCAGACGCGAAGAAAACACTTTGCCCACTTCCCACTAGAAAGAACGTAAGTTAGTTAATGCTTTATCTGGTCTTTTATATCTTCATATACATTCTCTTTTCTTATTACCATATTTGACGGCATATAAGACGCACTGGCATATAAGATGCACCCTTATTTAGACGGCCACATACAAGGGGAAAAAGTTTCAATAGCGTGGTTTCTTTTAGTTCTCACGTTTCGTAAAAGCCAAATAAACAATTATTGAATGCAATTACGTATAAGACACAGGTAACTTTTTTGAGAGCAAATTTAGGAAAAAAAAGTGCGTCTTATATGCCATCAAATACGGTATATATATTTTAAATTTCAATTTTTATTTTTTATTTATTTTTTTATTTGTTTTTGCAAAGATTGCATTATATTTCTTATATTTCGTAATTTTCTAATGTTTATTCCAATTACTTTGAGTTCTATTTCATAATGCCAATTTCCAATGTTTAATTTTTACAAATAGTTTTGAATTAAAATGCATAAACACAAGGGTGTTGGGGGACAATTTACTCGAGTAATTTATCAATTTTACTGCAGAAATTGCTTTTCACTCAAAATTGAATTAGCGAAAATGCTTAATCGGAATGAGTTCTTCGGTGCTCTGCATTGGTTCTTGATCCATTCTATTCATGGAAATATTTGGCCTAGCTTGAACTTCCAGTTTGGCATCACTTATTACTTGAGTAAAGGACGAAACACCTTCATATTTATTTCTTAATTATTGTTCATTGAACGGGAGTTGGGTTTGTTCCCCTTTAAAGTCAATTAATTTCCGCTCAATGGCAATGATTACTTGCTTTTAATTTATTTCTTTTTACAATTGAAATTTTGTTATTCATGATTTAATTCAAGTCCCCATTAAACATTTTTAACAATTTACATTCAAGTTACTTTAAAACAATTTTCAAAATTGAACTTACTAACTATGGATTCACTCTTTTAAGATAATTCTACTAAAATTAATCTTAGGAGATAATATAATTAATATTTTAGTAAATAAATTATTATTAACTTACTTTGCAGCAACTGCGCAAGTAGTAGAATAACTCGATTTCGCACTAAGTGAATTTAAGATCATACAACATATATATATGTATGTATGTGTGTGTGTGTGTGTGTACACACACATATTATTTAAATGCAGACATACAATGAACTTAATAATACACAGATTTAGCTCCAAAAACAAAATAAATACACAGATTTAGCTCCAAAAATAAACGAAGCAATATACCTGTTTCTCAATGTAGGACCCTCTTCAGGTCGACTCATTACATCTTTCAGAGGAGGCAAAACCTACAAGAAAATACATATATATGAGAGAGTTTTATTTGACAAGTAATAAATATGATTGTCCTGCTGCTTTATCTCAGTGACATTAAAAGCCCTTGGTATTTGGGAACCAACTAGTGGTAACATATGCTCACCCCACATCTGCTCTCACAGAGAATACTCTGGAGGATAAAATCCAAGAGTTTCATATCTATTAACGATTCATAAATAGAACTCTCAACCAGATGAATTTCAAGTATTCTCATGTGACAAAGATGCCTACACAATTACAAAGTCTTTTCCAAATTTGACCTGAGACCAACAATTTGACAGATAGCTTTGCTAACCACCATATGTCTGGACAGTCAAGTTCTAAATTGATCTATAGTTAAAATGTTATCAAATACTTTAAACTGCTCAACTGATATCAAATAATTTTAAGTGACATATAATTTAAGGCGGAACTACTCTTATGTGTCCCTCAGGTTGTCAAAGTTCTCACCACCACGGTGCCATATTACTATCTAAATTTTTTGTCTACATTTCGAACTTTATGTTACTTATGAACTTGTTTCGAACCTAAAATGTCTCCAAAAACAAGGTTTTTGCAAGTGCAAAAACCCCGTTTTGAACACACAATTTCTAAGCTAAAAATCTGAAACAAAAAATTTAGATAGCAAAAACGTAAATTTCTAACCAAAAATATTTGAAGAGAATCTATGTTCAGAGCGGTATGTTTTAACTTTAAAAAAATATCTACGAATTGCACAATCTAGGCAGTGAAAGAATCTACGAACTACGTACACCTCGCTTTAATAAATTAATATAACAATAAATTTCAAAGAATTCCATGTACACAGCATTCTGTTCAAACTTAAAAACACATCTACAAATTGCACAATCTAGATAGCGAAAGAATCTATGAACTACGCACACCTCGCTGTAATAAATTAACATAACAACAATAAATTTCAAAGATTACCATGTACACATCATCCTGTTTAACCTTAAAAAAAATCTACGAATTGCACAATCTAGGCATTGCGCACAAATCAACAAAATAAATTAAAATAACTAAATTACAAACAATTCAAATAGCAACAGAAATTCATAGTAAAAAAACAATGAACATAACATTCTACAAAATAAAAACAATAAAATAAAATGCACTTACCACAATACATACGTGAATAAAATTTCACTAGTCACACAACATCTGTCAACAAAAGTGCCATGATTTTGCTATATCATATGTTTTTCTGTGATTCAAAATTTTGAAAGTAACGATAAAAACTTTCTCCAAAGTTAACTTACTACACGAAAACCACAATCCAAATCTTAAACTCCGCTGTCAGCCACATACTTTACCAGGAACCATTTGACTGCAAACTCACACAAGTCTATCAGAAACACCATTCTTTGTCCGAGTTCTCATATCAGCTCCCCATTTCAGACACACCAAACTCCGTTTTAAAAGTCCTGACTCCCACAGAAGTTCCAAAAATGCACTTCTATCCACATAAACACACCCGTAAACAAAAGACTTGTTAACAACTCCAACATCGTACCTTTTAATACTAAATTTACTTTGCACACAATCTAAAATATGCGACTGAAATCTTGCCACCATGTCTCTAAGTTTCAACGTCAAAAGGGTTGGCATACAAACAGCATCGTCCACCAAACCATCCCACAGCACGGAATCGAGCCAAAAACCAGTGCAGTGTACATATCGCCACATTTGGTGATCTTAGGGCTCATATAAGAGTAGAGCCTTTAAGGCATTTAACAATTACCTTTGTCTAAATAGGGTTGCATAAAATTGGTGAAAATCACGTGATTTACATATAGTATGAACTCAGCCTGAAAGCATTATCTTAATAGAGAAGTTATTATAATACAAAATTAGCTGTAAATATATTAAAACATTTACTGATACATTTCAGAGGATATTACAACAAATATTTTCATGTCTAAAAATGATAATGTTGTAACATCATACACCGACTTTTACAACTAACTTTTTCAATAAAAATCAATCTACCATATACATTTATTAACATAAAATAAATATACCAATTACAAAAAGAAAATACGGTCTTCTTTCAATATAATGAAGAGGAATCTTTATTACATTAAAAGATGTTTCTTATGATTAAAATTCCCTGTAACTGAATTTGTCAGAAAATGAATAAAACTCTGGGATTATTTTAATGAAACTGTTGAAAAAGACACACTTTTTATCTGATGTATATTTGTTTAACTGAAAAGCAAAGATGCTTTGGTTTTGATTATTAGACTATGGCAAAGCAGACAAGGGCTATCTGCCTCTGGAAAGGGATGTCTTTGTGAAGAAATTTCTAAGGGAAACTGGCTGATATCCCCACTACACATGGAGAAAACCATGAAAATGCCTATACAGGCAGCCTATTTGCTGAGCCAGGTTCTGAAACTCGGTTGAACTATAAGTATTCAGCAAATTCAAATGGCAAAGTTTATGAGAGGTATCGGTCTAAGGTGAGAGAGATGCTTATTGAAAAAAATTTTTTGTTGATCCCTGCTTTCTTGAAATTTTTTGAAAATAAAAGCATTTTACATTTCAGCAAACATATTATTTTTATTTTCCTATTTCTTGTACAATGAATGACTATAATCCACCATTTGAATTTATTTTCAGAGCCATTTTTTAATATCGATCTAAAAAAAAAATCAAAATAGAACATCTTCATAAATGAAATAAAAACAAATACATTAAAAGAGCATTACTCTGAATTTCAAATGGCAGTTAATAATTAATCCTCATAATGTTTATTATTCAGTAATTGTAACATTTAATTTTATTACAGTTTTACGGGTTAATGAGTAACAAACACTATTATATTTCCACAATTTCTTCAACTGGTTACAAAAATGCACTTAGTAGTATGTGGAAAGACTAATTTTGATTGTAATTGCAACATATCTGAAACTAAAATAATTTGAAACTGTCATAAGTGACCAAAAACCAAAACCAAATTAATGACCAAAAACAGGTCAGCCGTTAATGCAATAAGGTATTTTCTCCTTCCTTTCTGCATGCCTTCATGGTTTTATTGAAAGCATACTCAACGCACAATCAAGAAGTCCAGGGTTCGAGTTCCGTCGAGAGCATTGCTTAAATTTCACTTCTCCTGAATCAAAAAACCTTAATGACTCTTCAGTGGTGCCCAAACTAAAAGGAGGTGGATGATAATTCGTCTCCACCAGGATTTGACAATTGGGTCCCTTAGTCCCCAGTCGCCTTTTAAAAGGAGGAGTATATAAGGTATACTCTCCCACCTTTCTGCATGCCTTCATAGTGTAATGGGAAGTATATTTGATACATAATATACTTCCAGGGTTCGAGTCCCGGTGAAGGCACTGCACATTATTCACTTCTTCAATATAAAAAAAACCCTAATGACTCCCCATTGGTGCCCAAACTAAAAGATGATGGATCATAATTCATCACCACCAAGATTTGATGACTGGGTCTTCTAATTCCCAGTTGCCCTTTAGGAGGGGGAGTATGTAAGGTATTTTCCCCCAGTTTTCTGCATGCCAAAAGCATATAAGATGCAAAATCGAGAGGTCCAGGGTTCGAGTCCCATTGAAAGCACTGCACATTTGTCACGTCTTCTGATCCAAAATAAGAAAAAAAAAGCCTAATGACTCCATAATGTGTTGTGAAAGTACTATATATAAGATCTTGAATTTCATTGCAACTTTTCAATTCCTCTGTTGACGGAAAGTTGGTCCACTCGGTAAGTACTTGTCAACTTGTTAATTCTTATCAACAGATGCTGCTGCTACCTGGGCCTATATCCCTTCAGACAGCTGCAGAAATGCCTGATGATACATGACAGTAATGATTTTTCCATTCTTTAAATTATGCATATTGGCATACATTCAATTTCTACACTCTACGGGATGACATCCTGTTACTGTTGACAGGTAAACATTGTACTAAGATCATTAAAACCAACAGTGTAATTAACAAATTCTTACACCTTAATTATAAACAGAAACATCCAATTACTATCAATGGGTATACATTGAAAAAAGAACACTGAAACACAATTTGCTTTTCCAGTGATAATATGTAAAATAACTAACATTTAGTTATAAATTATAAAAAGAAGTCAATTACAAAACATTAATATGTGAATATTAAAAGATGTCACACAAATAATGCTTCATTATTGAGAGATTTTTTTTCAGCTATATGATTATTATTTTATATTAGTTCAACTGGCAGCTGCTAAAGTTTGCATATGACAACAAGTGTGTTATGCTGAGCCTGTACCTACCAATCTGTTGACACTTTTCAGTTATGAAATATACTTTTGATGTCAGCAGATCAATTATATGTGCTTTTTGATATGTGCCTAGTACTCTATGGCAATAACACTGAAAACAGCATTTCGAATACTATTTTTGTATGCAGATTCAAACAGATTATTATTCTCTGCAGTTTGTCATTGCTTTCATCTAAGCTCTGCTAAAAAAGAAAGTAAGTGACTTCCCTTGGACCTAACCCAATTCTTATTTCTTTGGCAATTGTATAAACATTACATTTCCATCTCACATTTTTCATCAAGTACAGTTTCACTGTATGAGAATTGCAAGATTTGTAACTAACAATGCACGATGCAAAATGCAGTACTAAAATGAGATAACCAAAAGTTGTCCCAAGAAGTTTTCAAAAGAAAAGTTCATAAAAATAATGCCCAAAAAATAATAATAATAAAATAAAATAAAAAAGTCCATAAAAATAATGCAATTCAGATATACTTTTGCATGACTGGCCTGAAGTTAACATTAAATAATAATAAAAAAGAGTCATTCTCACAATCTCTTAGCCAAAAAGATATACTTCAACATAAAAAGAAAAGAAAATAAAAAACTGCATTTTTCCAAAAGATTCTGGAACAGTTTCTAGAACTGCTGCAGTGCTCATAGAAAAGTAAAGTCATGAGTGATATTAATGACAGTTTGTTGACAGGAATGGCTATTATCCATTTTTCTAATAGCAAATTCATTAATTATTTGATTTATACTACAGATTTTGGAATCTTTCATTCAACTGACATAAAATTTACCCTTACTGCATATTAAAACAAAATTTTAAAAATGAATAATTTATCCTTCATAACATACTGAAAACAAAACACAGCAAATCATTTTAGAGATAAGAAGGGAAAAAAAAAAAAAAAAAAAAAAAAAAAAAAAAACCTACCTTCTTACGTAAAAACTTGCGAATAGTGCTATGTGAACGGGCACATTCACTCAAGGTGGTCACAACAGGTGACAGAATTTCTTTGTAGGTTTTATGAGGCTGGAAATGTAAAAAATTACAAGGTATAAATGAGAAGAAATCAATATTAAATAAGCACAGTATTTTAAAACTGTATTGCAGATGGTAAAAATAGCAAATATAATAAGTACATCAAATAGCAAGAAAATACAGCAGTTTTATTAGTAATATTCAATACAGAAATTAAATGCTGAAAGGTAATAATTAGTATTCACAAGGTAACAAAAGTTTTGGTTCATTAGCTCTATGGTCATACCTTGAGTAAGACTATTTAAAGGCTCCCATAAAATACTGAAATTAGTAAGGTTTTATTGCACTAATAATAGTTTGTAGAATGCATCATATACATGCTATTAGCATTATTATTAAATGAATTCAAAGCAGATCAACAAATTTTTTTTTTTTTTTTTGAGGGGAAGGGGAGGCAAGGTTAAAGAACGTGGTTCAGATCATTTTAGTTCTAATGACTAGAAATTTATACTGTTTTCATCTGCAAGATACAATTAAAATTAAGTACCTTAATAATACAGTAGAGGAAAACAATGGATTGTACAACCATGTACACTTCTCTTGTTGCCAGGGCTATGAAGCAGAAGTTGGATGCCCTTGGAAAATGCTGTCCATATAGTTCAGAACTGTCACCATGTGATTTTTTTCACCTTCAATCCTTTGAAAATGTACTGAAGGAAAATGATTCCAATCGGACAATAATGTGATGAGGTCTGTATCAGACGTTTTTATGCAACAAATCGTAAACTTTTATATGAAGGTTATCATAAATTGCATTCATTACAAGATCACTGACTTAGTATTGGGAAGAATGACATCAACGTTGAATAAACTTATTCAGCTGTGTAGCTCCTGAAACAAAGTTTTTTAAAGCTAATATACCTTGAAGCTAATTTAACTATTTGGCATATGCCTATTTTATGCATTCACCAGATTTATATCATAATCTGTTTACCATCCACCTTATATGCTAGCATAATCCATTACAAAAGTATATTTCTTCAATTTTCTTTTTATTCTATGAGCAGAATATATTATCTTTTTGTATTATTTCATTAAGAAGATACTTATAAAAAGGAGCTTGTTGTTTAGAAAGGCTTTGATGTGAAAAAGTTTAGCCTTGGTGAGACTAGGCAGTTACAATGCACACAAGCCATCCATTCAATGCTTATGTATTTGTACACTGTATAAATATAAGCAATTGTATGTGTACACTGTATAAATATAAGCAATTTAACAAAAATTTGTATTTTTTATTTGATTTCATACAATTTTGCAAGCAACACATTTAAAACAAATATAGAAACAAACCCAAAATTACTACAAAATAGACACACAAAATGCAGAAAGATAGCAAATATAGAACATAAAAATACACAGCAAAATAGTGAATAAGCCAACATAGAGAAAGAGACCAAAAATGCAACATTATGATGAACACAATGTTAATTTTTTTTTTAACATACAGTACATATTAGTGCAAACACCTCAGCAGTGTTTGGCAATTTTTTGCAAGCGAAAAGAATTGCGACATGTTTTTACAAAAAATTATTTATAACATACATACATATTACAATTAATACATGTGGTCATCAGCCCCTTTTCTACAAGCTCAGTGGAAACATGGCCACCAGCGAGTCAAGCGACTTTTTCTTCTCCAAGCTGTGTGAAAAGGGAACAGACATTCAACGGCATAACTTGAAAGAGCAGCAACTATTCGGAGGCGAAGGACTGTGACCTTTTATATATATATATATATATGATGTGAGATGACGCCATAGACTAAATTTCTCATCCTATTTTATTTTTACTTCTATTTCCGTGTTAATTAAAAATAATAAAATGCCACTACCATCTTCATCATTAAGTCTAAGCATATCTCTCATACATATTATAATTTACCTAAAAAATTCATCAATAAACTTACTTATAGGCAGTTTTTTGCATCTTTTGTTCTGGTAGAAATTTTACAAAAATCATTTTATGAGTAGATTCAAAGTAATTGTTCCCTTAAGCATTTTGCAAACAAAAATATTCTATTCCTGCAAATATTATACTCCAGTTTCTTCCACTGTCAGGCAATATTAAAAGTTACACTAATACATAAGTACAAAATGACATACACTATGACAATTTTTACAAATTCTTTTAGAGGATAAAAAACATTTCTATTGAAAAAAAAATTGATAGATGATTGAAAATCATAAGTATATTGAATATCTGGCAAAGGGGGAAAAAAAGAGCGAGGGACAGAATTTTCATTAGCTGAAGAAACTAACTATGTGCATGTGTAAAACACAAATTATGTGCACATCCACAGATCTGTTACCATCTATTTCTCGCCAAAGCAAAAACCCATTTTCTATTCCATTATCTTTAACGCCACGGCGCCGCGCTATGAACTGGAAGTTGATCTGTCAGCATTATCCTTATCTTCAGGGCAGATGTTTATTTTATTTGGCTTATAATTCCTTATTAAATGTAGTATTTCATCTCGATGTACTCCATCTTTCATATGATTTAAATCAAATGCCTCCTCATTATAATTCGCTTCCAATAGCAAAGAAAGTGACAGAGGTTATTGAAAACGAAAAAATTTCAATTGACAAATCAGTCAGTATTCTCGACACAGCAATTATAGGACTTGAACAGCGGAACTTTGTAACTGAACAAGAAATTATGTCTGTTTAAAGAATTAAAGAGAATGTATTATGACATAAAAAACGAAGCAACTTAAACAACTTATATTGAAAGAAATGTTTAATAAAATAAACAAATAAATATTAAGCTTCTTTTTTTTTTTTTTTTTTTTTTTTTTTTTTGTAAATTTTGATACCCTTTAGATCATAATTGTTCTTTATTTCATAAATTATGGTTTCATATTTTTAATTTTAATTTATTTCTGCTGCATGCCATCTTACCAGATTTAAACTGATGATCTATAATCCGGAAAAATCGATAATCCGGAATTGCCGAAGTCCCGACGAGTCCGGATTAACGACTTTTGACTGTATATATACATATATTTGTAGAATACACTTAAAATTCTAACTGTATGTTCTTTTCATTTTTAATGGCGACGTTCTCTTATTTGAAAGTACATGGAATTAAATCCACAGCCCCGTAGTCAAGTTGTTTTTCCCACCTTTTCTACACGTACAGTTACAGAATGTTCTGGAAATATTTAAAGCGAACTGGATTGGCTGACGAGGTTGACCTCATTTTTGTGAAGCTCCGCCTTTCCAGAGGCTATAAAAAGGACTCACAAAAGGAATATCGGAGCTTTTTCTTAAATGTCACGATGCAGTAAACTTCATACAAAAAGATATTAGTAATTCTTTTTATTTACTCCGGATATCTGATTTTTGTAAGTGCTATTTCTCCTGAATAATAATAAATGGATCCTGTTTTTTAAACTCATCGTCTGATTATTTAAGCTATGACTAAAGCTGATACATCACACACACACATATATATATATATATCAAGAACCTTTAATTTTTTTTATTTACTTTTTTTAGAAAATTGCATCGTACGCTTTGTCCTATGATGTAAAAGATTTCAAATAAATATGTGCATTGTGCATCTGCTTCAGTTAAGTAAGTTTATTTCTCACTTCTCAATCAATTTTGAAACGAATTTTGCAATGTTGTTTGGAGCTTAAAAACTAAGCTCCAAACAACATTGCAAAATTCATTTTGAAGTCAAAACTTAAACGCTTTTAACATGCTGAGCACCACGTCAGCCATCTGTCGCTGACACTAGACTTTCCATTTAGGCCACGTTCACCGCTGCTGGCTGACAGCGTGTAACATGATATATAACTATAAAACATACACTGTTTTATGAAATTACAGAAAATTTATTTAAAATTTACTTAATTTTGATTCATTACAGGACTAATGAATTTCATTGAAACACGGTAAACATAAAAATGGTTCTTCGTAACAGCTATTACAAAAATGTGACAACTCTCTTATAACATAATTTACAATATTTCCATACTTAGAGGCTTTTCTCAGTTTTCTCTGGAGTTTATGATGTTGTTTTTTAGATATTCTTGCATTTTTGTTCGATGGAATGTCTTCTTTTTCACAAATTGTAAGGGATAGCGCTAATTCTTTCCGGAATTCAGCGATGCTAATTTTCTGCTTCATAATATCTTTGTATAGAATGTAACTATTTACAACCGTAGTATTTAGTAACAATTCGAAGGTTAGTTTTTGATACCATTTTATGGTCCTACGTAACAGATTTCTGTAAACATTCATTTGGTTGGATAAGGCGACAGCTGCCTTTTGTCTGTTGTAGTCTACTATAATTTGTGGCCAAATGTAAACTATCTTCTACTGCGATAAGAGTCACTGGCTCTACAATACCAGCGCTTTTAAGCGGCATGCGTGGCCTGAATGGGATTGCCTAAGAAATACATGCGTGGCGCTCAGCGTGTTAATAAGGAGCTAAATCCTACTTAACAGTAGAAGGAAAGAAAGCTATGAAATATACTATTTACCTTATCTAATCTTTTATCCAAAAAGTTGAGTAGCACACAGATAGCTTCCATGTTCATACCATCAAACTCAACAACATTATCTACTTTTGTATCATGAATTTTAAGAACAGGAGTCAGCAATTCTTCATAGCTTGACATCGGCATATTAGTTAGGAGATCAATAGTGTGGCTGAAAGAAAAAAATTTTTTTCAGTATCTTTAAGGTGCTTCATACCTTTACTATAATTAATAAAACGTTTAACAGTTTTACTTAATATTGCCCTACAATTGATTAAAATAACTTTATTAATACAATAAAGATAAACAGGCATTTTCAGATTATCTGCACCTTGCCAAAAAGTCTTTCGTTGAATTGGTCAGAAACATTTGTTTGACCATCTTTGTGGCTGATACATTCATAAATAAAAACAAAACAAAGCACTTTAATTAGCAAAAAATATTTTATGGAAGAACAAAAATTTATATGGCCAATATGTACATTTTTACAATTGGTAGATATTGTTCATAGTAATATTTAAATATAAAGCATATAAATCAGCTTGTATTGAAGCACATGTGAAGTGTGTGCTGCACGGGTTAGTTATCATCTTCTGTACACTAAAAAAGATGCTAAAAACATAGCAATGCACTGAGCATTTAAATGAGAGTTCAGATAATCAGAAAGCATCAATAAATAAATACAGTCAAAAGACGTTAATTCGGACACCCATAATCCGGAATGATCTATACTCCGGACCTCAAAGCTACAAACTTTCTGCGCATGCCTCGCATTGACGCATGTGCATAGGCGTTTACGTGTGCGCGTAAGACTTTTACGGCTGCGAATATGCGTGTGCGCATAAAACGTTTACGCATGCGTGTTTAATGTATAACGGACGGTATAAGCTAAGCTAAAATTATCTAATTCAGTTAATGTTGCAGATTGCGTTGTTTCTTAATCTTCGAATTGGATCCGGCTTATTATTTTTTCTAGACTGTTAGAGCAATTTTATAAAAGTAAGCTTGAACTTTCGATTATATCTGTTGGAAAATATGACTTATTGTAATCCTTTTACTGCATTCTCTCTCCTCCTTGAAATGTTTATTAGGCTTAGTTCTTATTTTAATGTAATATAGTAGTTACTTCTACTTCTTTTTTCTTATTGCCATTGTTTGCGTTGAGAACGGACTGTTTCAACCTAATTAAGATGCAAAAACGAAACGTGATGTTACGTCATCTGGAAAGCCGATAGCTGATTGGTTGCCGTGAGATGACGTCATGCCTACTTCTGGTATAAGTATCTCGCGTCGCTCTGGCTCAGAGCTTTTAGTTCCTGTTTTCCTGGCACTTGGGTGTGCGCTTTCCAGCCCCTTTTGAAGGATGTGTGCAGTCCGGTGAATAAGTTCCTTGGTTCTTGTCCACAAGATGACTGTTCCTGAATAAGTTCCTTGGTTCCTGTTTACAAGATGACCTTTCCAGAATAAGTTTCTTGGTTCCTGTCCACAAGATGACTGTTCCTGAATAAATTCCTTGGTTCCTGTATACAAGATGACCTTTCCAGAATATGTTCCTTGGTTCCAGAAGCTACAATGTGAGTGACTGCCATGGGCGGCATCCATGTTCTTCATGAAGGTGGCATTTAAGATAAGTTAGCGGCGATGTTTTACTAGGCTATGATTCCTCGTGTTCAACTACATGTAAGCGGAGTTAGGCCGGATTTAAGTGCTTTCAAGAACTTAATTTAAATTTTCAGGTGCTTTCTTTGACCATTGATCGTGGACCTATTGACATGTGTAGCCAATTTCATTTGAAAACCGCATAATTACTGTTTAGGATACATTTTGTCACGTATTGAATGCCAGTATTTTTTTGGAGACCAGGTAAAATACTATTTAATATATGAAATTTTGATAATGATGGTTATAATATATTTTTTCTAAGACTCTGATATTGTTTAAATTTTTTTGTGTGTTTTTATTCTTTTTTATATTGTTAATAAATTGGTTAAGTTTGAAACCTCTTTATTGTCTTCAATGTCTGCACAACATATTATCTCAGGGAGCTTTTATTGCTACTACTGCTAAATGTTTAATTTTATAAACTTTAAACTTTGCTTTAGCATCAATATCAAATAGAATTTCCGATACATATTTGCTAATTTGTAAAGGATCTAAAGCGAAAATATGTTTCGAAATCCGAAATCTGTTTATCAATTTCACGCTGCTCGGTGGGGGGAACGCCGCGACGCGCAATGAACTGGAAGTTGATCTGTCAGTTCTGTCAGTACTATCCGTATCTTCAGGGCAGATGTTTTTATTTTATTTGGCTTATAATTCCTTACTAAATGTAGTATTTCATCTCGATGTACTCCGTCTTTGATATGATTTAAAACAAGTTCCTCGTCATTATAATTCGCTTCCGATAGTGAAGAAAGTGACCCAGGTTATTGAAAACGAAAAAATTTCGATTGACAAATTAGTCGGTGTTCTTGACACAGCAATTATAGGACTTAAACAGAGGAAGTTTGTAACTAAACAAGAAATTATGTCTGTTTAATAGAATTAAAGAGAAAGTATTATCACATGAAACGAAGCAACTTAAACAACTTACATTGAAAGAAATGTTTAATAAAGCTTTTTCTTTTTGTAAATTTTGATACCCTTTAGATCATAATTGTTATTTATTTCATAAATTACAGTTTCATATTTTTAATTTTGTAATTTCTGCATGCCATCTTACCAGATTTAAACTGATGATCTATAATCTGGAAAAATCGATAATCCGGAATCGCCGAAGTCCCGACGAGTCCGGATTAACGACTTTTGACTGTATTATGATATTAAAATGATTATCACATGAAATTACTAAAAGTCTAAATTTGTTAACTGAACAACACTAGAATAAGTTAAGTATTTGCATATTACAATCTCTTACAGCCTTAAAAAAATAAAAAGCCAAAATATATTTTTCTTTATGTGAATACAGTAAAGTCTTGCTAAAGGGTTATGTTAATACAGCAAAATCATGTTCCACAAAGCTAACTTTCTAGAAAAAATCTGTGAGGTATAATTTAGATTAAGAAAGCATGTATAGTTTAAACAAACTTATAGATTGTTGAATTTAAAAACAAAAACAAAACAAATGTTAAAAGAAAGTATTCTTATTATTGTTTAATAAAGATCTCTCACAATTACTGTTTTAAAAAGTTTGTGATTTTTGCTTGGGACAATGTCTGACACAGCTCTTTATAAGTTTCAAGTGCCCTCTTATTTCTTCATTTGAGTCAGACAAATTCTGTGCCTTTTTTAACAATTCATTTAACTAACTGTAGGTGGATTGCACACAGTGTGTGCAATGCATTTCCAAGCCAAAAAGACAGGTGCCCACTGTCTGTGCAATGACAATGAATATAAATCAGTATGGAAAAGGTAAGCATTGGGATAAGACTGGTTTAAAACAAAAAATTTCTTAGAAATGTGTGCCAGTTTGGCAGTGGTTTAAATTTAATCCCCAAAATGAGTGACCCAAAAGCAGGACCATCAAGAGTGCAGAAAATGAGCAGTGATAGTGAAAGTGGTGATTTATTGCTTGCTGGAAACAGAAAAAAGAACCAAAATATTGTTATTATGCATAGTAACAGTGATCCAGAGTATGAGGAAGACATGAACAATAAATATAGAACAGTTAGATGATAAGGAAGATACGATTTTTAAGGAAAGTGACTGGGAAGATTATAACGAAAACAAAACTGAAGAGACGGAAACTGAAGTTAGTGAAGTCACTCAAAGATGGGCAGATCACGGTAATTTACCAAAAAAAAAAAAAAAAAAAAAAACCTTTTGAGGGCAACTTGGGTCTCCAAAAGTTACCCAAAGAAGATCATCCATATGATCTTTTTGAAACATATATGATTTTCCTAAAACGTTATTGGCATATTTTTTATAAGCGATAATAATGTCAAATGTGGTTTATGCAATTAGTAAAATTATTTGAAAGAAAGAAGATGCATCTTTTTTTTTCCACTCGTGCCAAAAAAAAGAGAAAATAAAATAGGTTACCATAAATTAAGAACTTTGCCATGTGAATTATTTTTGGCACAAAAAAGAGCATCAAGATAAATTTTTAAATTTCTCACCAAATTTTACAAAATTTAACATTTGAGCATAATTTGAGTTGTAGAATTAAATATGGTAAAATATAACTATGACATTTCAGATAAAGTTCAATTTTGAGTCATGCCTATGCTAGAACAATGCTATATATAAAACTGATATATATCATAAGTCATACTTTCGAAACATGAAAAACGCAAGTTAAATTTCAAGAATTGTCCCAGTGGAACGGGGAATTACAGAACTGTCCTTTTTTTGGGGGGGGTGTTTGCAGAGTGCGCTGTCTTTTTTTTGTGTGTGTGTATTTGCAGAGTGCATTTTCAGAGTGTTGTTATTAGTTATAAGTATACACATATGCATATAATAACCTTTAATCATCTCTCAAGTTCTTACGAACTTAAGAAGATCTATGGAAGAGATAAAAGAAAAAATTGGTCACTTAAAAATCAAGTAAAAAAAATTAACATCATATTGGCACTAATTTTAAATTATTATTTAAAAAAAAACTACACTCATTTTAATAAATGTTGACCTAGGTGCCTCAGCTACAGAAAGAAATGAGAATGTCTTAAAATTAATATGAATCTTAATCCTCTAACATATATCTGAAATTAAGTAACACAATATAATTTTCCGTAAGTCAATTTGTACATAATTAATATAAAGCAGAAATTTCAATAAAAATAAATACCTGAGCAGTTCTTCTTTCTTTTCTGCAGGCTTAGCATCACTTAGAAGAATATCATGTAAAATACTGACAAGTCGCATATAATGAGCCTCTTCTTCCTGTTTTAACAAAATAAATCACGATAGTATTTATTGTATTTACAGATAATATATTTTAAGATATATGGGGGTTATGTAAAAGAGTGGATAACAGCATGTATTATATATAAAGCATTCATATTCATTTAACACATCAAATACATTTCATTATTAAATTATACATAGTATGCTACATTATATACCCATAGTAGTACAAAATATTGTCTCTTTTATTTTTCTCCCTCACACATATTAAAGTAAGAGGTTCTAACATTTTATCCTCATCCTCAAGAGATAATATAACAATGATGAAATAGTGTCTATGTATTGTATATTAGCATGCACAATTTCAGTGTATGATAGAACAATAAAAATCATACTTATTCATAAAAAACTACAGAAGTAACAAAGCACTAGTCTGAATCATAGATGATTTGCTCTTGATCAGGTCTGCCATAAAAAAATAGCATTCCATGCATTGCAACTGTCATATTTTAACATGTTATAACACAGATGAGTTTATTTCCTGTACAGAACACCCAGTTTTTCAAGAATACCTGCATAATGTACTATATAATACAACTATAGTTCTGTTGCATGTTACTACTGGAGGGAAGAAATAAAACACACGGGCTATGGCTCATTTTTGCTTAACACATATTTTTAAACTTATAGGTTGTTTTACTTTTCAAAATCTTTCTGGATGCAATAATCAGTGAATCAGAGAATGTGATTGTTCTACTAAGTGTATCTATAACTGCATATAACTGTCTTACTAAATGTATACATAAGCATACTAACTGTATGTTCAGGTTCCGAATTAGCTATGTCATCAGTATTATGCAAGCCATATGACATAGAATGATCTAGAAATGACACAGCCCAGAAAAGTTATTACTATTTTTAGAATAAAGGGGAAAAAATACCCTAAATTAAAAATGAAGAATTAAGAGGCTATTGATGAACTAAATTTTAAAGCTGATTTACATATATATAAAGAAACATAATAATAAGCTAAAATTTAAAACAGAATTATTTAAACCCGTCTTGCACTACAGATGCAGGAGTGAAATAATAAACTTAAAGCATCTAAAGTTAAAAGTAAATTGGAATCAAAACAAGGCAATTCCTCAACAATATTAATAATTGCAACTGTGTATAACAGGTTTAACCCAATATCTAAACAAATTAAATTAAAATAAGAATTCCCAGTAGAACAAACTCAAAAAATAAAATTATGAAAGGGAAAAATGATGAACATAATTATAAAAATATAAAAATTAATCTCTTTTATTGAAACTCCAATTCAGAACTCATCAGGGGAAAATGAATTAATGCTGCATAAAAGTCAAATAATATGTTTCGGAAACATATTTCATTCTCCTGGTTCATTTCAGATCAGAAACCCCCCCCCAAAAAAGATTCAATTAAATGTTCATTTAAGACATTAAAATTCATATAGAACCAAAAAATCGAATCTCAAATATACCAGAATTTTTCCTAAACACTTTCAAAACACTTAAGGAAAAAAGAATAAAACATTGTGCCAATTTGACTACTCAAAAACTATGCACTATCAAAATACTTAAAAATAAATAAAACATTGTGCCAAACTGGCTACTAAAAAACAAACCATAAGACTTTACATACACAAATTGACCATTCAAAAAAAAACATTGTTCTTAAATCCTTTATGCAAATCCGAAATTCAAAAGCAATTATCAGTAAAGAGCAAAAGATAAATACTTTAAATCAAATTATTATTTAAACAACATTCAAAACTTGGTTGGTCCCCGATTATGCTAAACTAATGATTATGCTAAACTTTAAATACCAACAAAATGAAAAAATTTTCATAGAGATTTCTATAAATAATAAAATCTAATCTGAGCCTTACACAGATAAAAACTTAAAACCTATTTGAAACAAAAATTTTGTGGCGTGGAACTGCACTTTGCAATGCTGCTTATGGGCTCACTGGGCACAGACCAACCCCCTTTTTAGACTGTATTATTGAAGTAAATTCATTTTTCATCACAAGTGACCTTCAAATTCAGAACTTTGTCTTTGTGTTAATATTTGAGCAGATTTGTGCAGGCCTGAACACGTCTGTCCTTATCTGCTTGAGTCAGCTCATGTGGCAATCAGAGATCCTTGTACGTCAAGTTTATGTGAAGTATAGCAAGATTAATAGACATGGCACCAACGTCTAACTCTTAGCAAGCTGTTGAGTGGTTGCATACTGATCATCTTCCACAAGTTCTTGCAGGCAGGTATCACCAACATCAGAAGGGCAGCCAAAGCCCTCTGTTTCTTTAATGTCATAGTACTTGCTTTTGAACTTTCGGTACCAAACCTTCACAATGTCATATGATACAACATTACTACCTAAAGTTGTATACATGATTTGGTGAAATTCTGTAGCTGAATTTTTGCAACAGAATTGGAAGTAAATGATGGTTCTAATCTGGTAATGATAGTTCCATTTTAGACACCTTGTACCTCTTTCTTTCATATGCCAAAAATCGTTTGACAACATATGATTAAACAGGCCAATGCAAAATGTTTGCGCAGACGATATTTGTGGTGGCGAGAAACTTCTGTTAAAACTATATATATATATATATATATCATGTATTTAGTATATGATGTATATATGATATATAATGTTTTTCATAAATATATATATATATATATATATATATATATATATTATATAATATATAATATTTATGAAAACATTTTACATACTTCCTTAAGCATGAAAATTTTAAAAATAAATTGTTAACAATAAAATAAAATAAATTATTAACAAATATTAACTTAAATTATTTAAAATAAAGCATGCAAATATATAAAGTAGCATGAATGAAATACATAATTTAATACTGACTCTAATTCTGTTGAAATTTAGTCCAGTTTTAAGAAAGCACTCTTCCTTGAACTGCTCGCACTTACAATAAAAGTTATTCTGCTATGCTCAAAAACTGAGCACTGGATCAAAAGTAGACTGATAAGGCTTGAAATAGGTTTTCTAGCATTTCTAATAAAAATACAGCAGAAATTAAGTAAAGTAATTCCAATTTTGTCAGATGAATAGAAAAACTAATTCCAAGCCTCAGGATCAAGTAATTTAATGTCTTACACAGCACAATAGTTAATGGGAATACTCTGATAAAGTTGAATTGCATGAAAGTTAGTTAATGGTTATCAGTTAATGGGAATACTCTGATAAAGCTGAATTGCATGAAAACTAGTTGGGATTATGTAGCATATTTTATATGTGCTAAATTTTATATTATTAATTTATTAATTATATCATACCACTAAAATTATCCTCAATATAAATTGTTGCTCAAAATGATATGGATTAATTTAATCTTTCTTAATAAAAACCCAACAAAAATTTTTAATATATATATATATATATATAAACAAAAGTAAATATTTTCTTACTTCTTCCATATTGTATTTTTCAACATTGACTGTAAGATTGAAAAGTACTTTTAAAACTTCACAAGCCATGTCAATTTCTTTCTCAGAGAGGCAGGGAGCATAACAGCTTTCAACTTCATTCTGATTACTTCGTCCTCTTTTGCTACTTTTATTAAATTTGCGACGATTTTCTGTATTTTGAGTTTCTTGTGAAATCTGCTCCACATTGTTTTTAAGGATTAAGTCTAATACCTCCATCAAATATGTAAGCCCATGAAGTTGTTTACGTACTTTAGGTCTATACAAAAGAAAATTGAGTTTATAATTGGTTGCACTTTAATCAATAGACAATACTAAAATTCAAACAGATTTTAATGATTTATATGCCCAAAAAATAAGATACACGAGTAAAGAAATAAACTATAATACTATGACAACACATATGTTTACTCCTTGACATAAATATTTGTGTTGCAGTTTAATTTAAACACAGTTTCTAAAAGAAAAATAAATTATCTTAAAGAATTTGACGGTAAAACTTGGTGAAACTGCTCAGCATTACTAACTGACAACCTTTGTAGTCAATTAATTCATATTTTGCAGAGATACAGAGAATTACAGTATATACAAAAAAAGTATACGCATACTATAACAGGTCATCCTAAACTCATTTTTAGAAATTGGTTAAAATGGTGGTAACAATGTGTAGTATACTTCCCCCAGAAGTTGAATTTGCTCCAACAGAAGTTGTTACTTATCTAATTGTAAAACGAATATGGGCCATAAGATAGAAAATAAAAATGGCCTGAATATGATTTTTGCATAAGCACAGCAGTTATCTTATTTGGTTTTTGAGTATGCTGATGAAATGCAATATAACTGAAAGCATAAGTTTGCAACACAACTTCCGGCGTTGTGTTGCAAACTATGCTCCATAACGAAACATTTGTGGTAAATTTGAGACACATAATGTCTGTCATGTGTACATAGGAAGATGTGCTCAACAACAAATTCCGCTTTAATAATTATGGTATGGAAAAGTATACATGTTCACAACAAAAATCTGCCACACATTGTGTGCACACGAGATAGCAGTTAGCAATACTGCTGCGTAGATTAGGGGATTCTATAAATGAACAGGCAAGTACTCAAGTCTAAACTCGAGACTTTTATTAACTCGAACTGAATGAAGAGCTACTTATATACAACTGGTGAACATGCTGAAACATTCCAGACTTGGAATGTTCTGGAAGAATAAGAAGGAAATTTGCATAAATAAGATAACATTAACAAGAAAGAAATTTACATAAAAAACAATTATCAGGCATCTTGCCGTTGATGGGTTTCGAACCCGGGCCTTCGGGTTTCGAGTCCTTCGCCTTCACCGCTAAGCTACGAGGAGCTCGGTCAAAAAGAGCGATTTTTCGATACAATACAAATGAAGCTTAGTTGGATACAAATGTGCAAAAAAACTGTATAGGACAAAGAGTTGCACTGTCTTCATTGCAGTCACTTTTATGTACATCAACATTTAACATTTTTGTATGAGGGATGATAAAGAATAATATACACTGATACTTTTTGATGACAAAAATAAGCCAACATGTAATCTCCATGAATATTCCAGTCAGTGATGCTCAAGCAACAGTCTGCTATTATATTAAGTGCCTGTCAGCTAATGGCTGTAGCATGGAGCTCGTACTGTAACTGCAGAGTTTAAGGATAACTTGTATTCATCTTGTGATACATGAGAAAAATTTATCATAAATATATATCAGGTAAGTTTTTTTTTTTTTTTGTCAATTAAAACACCTAAATTTTTGTTCTTGTTATGGAGGCCTGTATATAAAGTACAGCGTATCATTACGATAAAATGAGTATGAGAGATAGGGAACACTTCTCATAAAATCAAAAGCATGAAAATATTCATAATACCATAATAAATTTATGTCCTTTACTGGCAGTGCGAATTATCTGTTTGTACTTTTTTTAATTAATAAGTTATATGAATACTTGCCAACCCACGACACTAAAGAATTGGAAGAATTTTTTAAGAAATCAGGACTTTCTTGAAAAGGACAAAAAGATTTTTAAATGATAAATATATATTGGAACTACTCTCATACGCGCCCTCGGTTGGCGACAAATTTCTCTCCACACCGCCATATTACTACCTAAATTTTTTATCTATATTTTGAACTTTAAGCCTAAAATGTCTGTAAACATGTGATTTTCACACATGCAAAAACCACATTTTGAACACACAATTTAAGCCAAAAATCTGAAATAAAAACGAAAACTTTAGATAGCAAAAACGTAAAGTTTCTAACCAAAAATATTTCAGAAGAATCCATGAACACAGCGATATGTTTTAAATTGAGAAAAATCACAGAATTGCACAATCTATGCAGCGAAGAAATCTACAAACTACGCACACCTCGCTTTAATAAATTAACATAACAACAATAAATTTCAAGAATACCGTGCACACAGCGTTCTGTTTCAACTTTAAAAAACATCTACGAATTGCACAATCTAGACATTGCGCACTAATCAACAAAATAATCTACAATAAATTTCAAACAATTAAAAAAAATAATAATAACGACAGAAATTCATACTAAATAAACAATAAACATAACATTCTAAAAAATAAGAACAAGAATAAAATAAAATGCACTCACCATGAATGAATGCTTCTTCGAACAGCAGAAATACCAATTTCACGCTGCCATGTAATCACTATCGTAGTTAAATGACAGCCACACTTACTATCCACAAAATTGATACTATCTTTCACAAATAAATGTTCAAAATCTTCTTTTCCTAAACCCTTGTAGGATTTCCAGCCATCCGAAAAAATAGTTGTACCAGGCTCAATTCTTTAATACACTGCATCAGTTTCCTAACTTCTATCCTGCACAGCCACCATAAATAATATCCCACATAATCCACCATAATAATATCCTCTTTCTACTCCTCCAAATACCCACTGCCCCTCAACAGGATGGCCACGATATTTCTTTTTCCAAACTTCGACTCATCAACTTCCACCACTTTATCTTTCCCTCTTGTCTTCTGAAACACAGAGCATACAAAGTTAGCATACATAAATCACTTAAATACCACACACCACATGAACCAACTAGCAACTGAAACCAACTGAAATACAAGTTTCCACGTAAAAACAGTTGGCATAGAAACCAACATCACTCCCAAAATTATCGCAGAACACACAATCGTGCCAAAAACCAGCTCTCAACAAATATTGCCACATTTAATGACCTGAAGGTGCATGTAAAAGTAGTATCAATATATTTTTAAATAATGAATTAAACTTTAAACAGTTATTAATTAATATCTAACCGTTACTAATTCTTAAGTGCGAACAGTACATTCTGCATTAGTAACTTTTTGGTCCTTTGTTTTCAAAGAAGAAACTAATTATTAATTTTTTTCAACAGAACTCATGTTGTCCTTTTGTTTTCGTGTAAGCACATGTTTGAGAACTTTGGCTTTCCACCATGTGAAAATGAAAAAATGCAATGATAAATGGCACATGTCGCATTTCCTTAAGGAAATAATAGAAGGAGAGTCATGTGTGTATGATTTTTGAAAAGTGCATGAGTATTTTACTTATTTCACAAGAATAACTAAAACAAAATATTGTTATTTCCTAAACTATCTCTTGAAAGCATGTGCGGTGACACAGCTTAGCCTACAAGATGAAACAACCTCGATCTTGCTTTATGCTCATTAGCTAATATGTGCCAGATTGGAGCTTGATGCTCATTGGAGAAATGGAACATGATATTTTCCGACCCGTGCTTTCACTCACAAAATAGAAGCGAGCTATAATTTCTCACTGATGAAACTACTTTGGTTTTCTATTCAGTCTATTAAAAAAACCATGCGCTTTCAGACATCCAAAATCCCTTTTTAGGAGCTGCAAATAACAAAGTATTCAGCCATAAAAGTCATGAGAAATTTTAAGAATAATAATAGAAGGTCGGGAGAAATATGTTGTAAATTGGATTGGTGGGAGTAAGGTGGGAACTCGGGAGTGTTGGTAATGCTGTATATGATATCAAAAACTATATATGTAACATCTGTTACAAACCCTGATATAAAAAAAGAGAGAATGGTAACAATTGTACATAAAATGAGGGAGCAAGCAAGTACCTACATATGCATTTTATGCATTCATGACATGTTCAATTTAAAAAAAAAAAAAAAATCGGCTCTTTCAAAAGAAATTTGGAAATAAGGTTTATGCTTGCTAGCAAAACTGTTTATCTGCACCTACATTGATTAATATCATCTAATTAATGATGCATTGAGAGATTGATTTATCAATATTGACTGATATGATAAAGAACATTAACGATGTCATGTGTATTACAGTCACCATACACCAGAAAAATGAAAAAAATCATTAACTTTATGAATATTTTATGCCAGCAAATGTTAAAATAAATCAATATCAACATGTATTTTATAGATATATGGCATTCCTACTTTTTTTTCATATTTTAGCGACAATTAAAATTTAATTTTTCAAACTGATACAAATTAAAAAAAAACCAGTCTACTTAATGAGAAAAATCAGAGTATAAATGATCACATCTAATTGTTAACAGATACATTTTAAACCTAAAAATGAAATCTTTCACTTTTATATAAATTTTTAAAAAAATCACAAAAAGCTTAAAAGTAATAAGACAAAAAAATAAGAAAAAGCAATAAGATCTCCTCAAAGTGATAAAATTTGAAAACAACATATCCTCTTTAACATTTAAGAAAAAAACGTATTTATTAACTATCACCAAGAAGTGGGATTTAGCACCTATTATGGATGAGTGCAACATACGCATAATATCTGCACTTTCATTTCATGTAGCTGAGATAGATTTTTGATAAGCCCTGTTTTGTTTTTGTGAACAAGGATAGAACTTTGTTATGTTAAAAATAGGGATTTGCCTCCACTGAAGAGTAAGAAATTAATTATATTTAAACTTTTAGAATTCTATTTTTTAAAAAAGTGTGATTAATGGATAACTTGTTACTTATTTGAGAATAGATAAATTATGATTCTGCAATATCAAAAATTGTGCCAACATAATATTTATCCAAAAAGAAACATGGTTGTGAACGACATTTGCAACTGCATTCTGCTTCAAAGCTGGCTGCGAGAATTAATATCTATTGAATGTGAAAGAGAACAGCTCAATATTGTTAACAAAACAATAATAGACTGGAACAATTATCTGTGGGAATTCTGTGCTCTCAAAATATTTTGAACAGAACTTGTGGCAAAATTCGAAGGACTAACAAATTAGTAGAAATAAATGAAGGCTTTTTTACAAACCATAAAAATGAAGCAGATTTAATACCGCTGCAGCAATGGCTATTTGATGGATTGTGCAGAGAGATTGACAAATGTTTCATTGCAAAATTTGCAAACAGAAGTGCAACTACCTTAATGAAAGCAATAAAAGAAAATATAGCCTATGAATCTACAATATTTCCAACTGTTAGAAAGATTATAAAATTACTGAATTAAAAGCTGCAGGTATTTTGCATGTGAAAGTGAACTACCAGTATAATTTTGTAGATCTTGAAAGTGTTACGCATACTCAAAACATTGAAAGATTCTGAGATTCACCAAACGGTACTATAAAACATACTACATATAAGTCTTCAAGTTCATAAAGAATTTGACTATTTTGTTGCTATTTTAAATGCCAAATAAAGTAAATAAAAAATGACTGTTTATTATTTTTTTAAAAAAAACTGAAAGCTTATATTATAAATTTTATATTACGCCCAAAGGGGTGTTTATTAACGTTTTGTGTGTTACCTCTATTTATTAAATATCATGCTCTTTGCACTTAAACTATAAAATTCAATTCAACAGCAATATCACAAAATATTTAAAAGAGCGTATCTTTAAAATTTCCGATACACAGTCTCATGTGCTGGAAATAGAAAAAAAAATTTCCGTACAGTGTTGCCATTGCTCGGTGCGAAATCGTTGATTTCTTAATCAAAAACTCATAAATGCTTTACAAAATATGAAATAAATAAAAAGACAAATTCCATATTTGGGCATCTAGATGCTCATATTTGAGTGCAGATGTATGTTATTCAAAATATTATGGCTCTAGGTACCATTGTTTTATCGCAATGGGAGAAACATACACACATTTATGCAAATTCTTTATTATTTAATTTCTTTAATACAGGGTTCTAATTTTGATGGCAACAATTTAAAGAGTGATTTGTTGTTTATAGTGAATCAATGCAAAATGCTAAAAATGAAATTAATAGTACTACTGGAAAAATTGCCCTTTTGGACTGGCCAAAAAAAAAAAAAAAAAAAAAAAGGCATCACTTCCTTTAGAATTCCGCAGTAATGACTGACAACTCTTGCCAAAATTTCTGCCAATGACTAATGACATAAAACATAACAACTAAAAGTTAATTAATAACAAAGAAAAATTTTCAAAACAACCACATAAAAAGTTCTGGTATAGTGCTCAAATTAACAAGCAGATGTTAGTTAAAATGAACATTATATAATACATGAAATTTGCATACAAGTTGAACACCGCTACAGTGAAATTTAAGAGACCAAAAGTTTGTTTGTTTTTCAATATCTGATATGAAAGAAAAAAAAATGGGCTATCTCAAAAATAGTGTAAAAATTGATTAATATATCACAAAAAAGACTGATTAATATTACATCTCCCAAAAGAAGACCAATTTAAAAAGCTCATATTAATTACAATTATTATTTTAGATATGTCGCTTCAATTACACATCTCCAACTAAAATACACATTCAATCCATAATTAGTGCTTGTCAAAATAATGGTTGTGGCTTCTTAAGAGGTGAACCATTTCAATAGTGCTTCTTCAGCATCTTTATGCTCATCCTTTTTAAACGTTTTGCTCATGTCTAATTTTTTTCCCAATGATTAGAAATTATCAAGTCTAAATTTTTCCACATGGTACCAACTATAGATTTGGATAATGTATATTCCGACCAAATGCCAATTTGGCAACAAACAATCTGTATTTTTACTTCCTTGTAGAGTAAAAAGAAAGCATTGTAATCCCGAAAAGCTTCAGGCATCATATTTCAACGAAAATATTCATTTTCACCACTACTGAATGCAACGTAACGATGTTTTTGTGTGACATCTGTACGTAAGGACAGAATAAAGGATTCTTCCCCCCCCCCAAAAAAATTATAAAACTGATTTAAAATGAATTCTGAAGCAATCTGGTTGCATCGGCCACCAAATTATACAATACTATATGTTATATTCCTCGTTACCGGCTCTATCTCGGTTTCTTATTCTTTATGTTTGTATTATGCATTTTTTGCTTTAAAAGTGATTGAATTATATTGTTCTTATCTTCCGGTAAAGTTTTTATGCTAGTAAATCTGTATGCAATATTTTTATTATCATAATTTAAAAGTGCGGCTAAACTATTCTGTATGTGGCCATGTTGCTCATTGAAAACTTACCAGAATAGTGGATTTGTTGCCAATCTAGAGAAACTAAGCATCACAACAACAAAGTATCGTCTTCTTTTATTACAATGAATTAAATTATGCTTAATTCATTATGGAATTAACATTTATTATCTTGTTTTTGCATAGAAACTGTAATTTAAAAAATTGTTTTAACTGCATTTGGTGTTTTATGCTTTTTCTGTAGCTTTCAAATTTTAATGAAAATATTTTGAATTTTTACGTATTTTTGCCTTGCTGCAAAGTGAGAACTGAATTAATTAGTAGCACATGCGCATTAGATAAGCTGCACTGAATCGTCTGCAAAAACTGTTTCTTTTTCATTTGTTTAATTTTTTTTATATATCGTTTTAGATTTATTATAGTATTTGAATAGAACTAGTTCTTCAAATGATATAATTTTTATGCACTCTGAGTTATAAAATGTATGTTAATGTTGTTAAGTGTCATTATAGTAAATTAATATAGTGAACTTTAAAGAGTGCATTTATTCTATTGTGGTTTAAGCGCTATCGATGAAGTAGATTTAACAATTCAAAATTCATGAACTGCTAATTCAATATGTTTAAATGAAATGCAGGAAAATTGCATATAATTTAATATTCCGTACAAGTCATGTGGCGTACAAATCAGATTTTTTTAATAGTATTCACCTTACCTTCATCATAGAATGCATTTACCATTTGGAATAGGGATGATTTCAGCCCCCCTCCCCACGCACAGAAATAAAGTTTTGCTATTCTGTGAAAAGTAAAAATAGTTTTATCACTAATGAGTCATAGGACCAATGAGAATACATTCACTTTCTCCACAATATGTATTGCTGCAAAGCAAAGGTGCAATATGTCCTTATAAAAAAACATCCTAAATGTTGCAAAAAGATCTAAAGAATGCAGAATCCCCCCCCCAATGAGAAGACATAACTTTGATGGTGTTTTAAATATTGAAATAAAACACACCAATAAGGACAAAATCTTCATTCCCTAAAAGATGAATCCCCTGCATTCCTCTTTCTCTCATCAAAGATTTCATCATAGCACTAAACTTAAACAAAGCTCAATCTGATAGCTCAACCAAAGAACTTGAATGGATTAGAGAAAACATTCATTTTTTTTTATTCGGTGGTAACAGACACCATATGGTGTCCTAAGATATGCTTTCGCTTCTATTTAGCTTGATTTTCGTAGTGCTTTGTTAATCGCCAATTTTTTTAAATGCCCTTCCAGTTTAAGAAAGGTCAACCTTTAAGTCCAGGCACGTCAAATCGTGTACAATGTCACAGAATTTTGCGCTCTCAAGCTTTGGGCGAATCTTTAGTAGTTCCTCTTCCCAATTTTGAAGAGAACATCGCAAGTTACTGGAGTATCAGAGTATACATCAAAAATAAGCGCGAAGTATCAACAGTGGGGAAAATAAACTTCTAATACGGATGGAAAGAAACGTAAGCCCTGCTAATCATAAGTGCAAATTGACGATTTGACAAATGCTTATCGGCAGACAATACAGACTTTTACATCAAGAAAAGAAAGTGCCATCTGTGGGGAAATTACTACTGCCCGCTTGAGGCAAAAAATAGACTTTCCAGGCAAAATATCTTTGTGCAAAGTTTTTGCGTTCAATGAATTTTCGCTGGAAGAATGCGTTAACAAAGAAAATCTATCGAAGGACCTCGCATTGTATTTTGGAGGAACAACTATTTATGCGAAATGAGGAAACTCAGAGCAAGTTGACGCCACATTGTTTACATCGATGAAACATGGATTGACAGCAATTTAACTTTTAAGAAATGTTGGCAGCGTGATACAGTTTTGGGCGCACAGATAACGAACGAGCATTTTACTTGAAACTAAAACAAAATGTGAATATCGCCAAATAATCTTTAAATGCACCAAGGTGACAAACTGAGAAGTAAATCTTCAAGACACCCCTATGAAAAATGGGTCAGGGCTCATTTCTATGGAAACAGACAGCCGCAGACAAACTGGCGAGAGCTGATCTTACCATAGACAGACAGTATATATTATATATGCCAAACATTGTTCACATAAATTTAATGATAAATATTTCAAAATGCATTAATATTTAAAATGTTATTAAAGTAATACCTTATTTCTGCACATAAAGCAGTTAGCAGGAATAGCATTCTCATATCAAAAAACTAGAAAAAGAAAAGAAGTACAAGAGTTTTCATCAAAGAAGGCAGAATAAATTGTTTGCAAAAATTAGTAGTGAAAAATACAAATTCACAAAATTGTTATCAAATTTTAATGCAAAACATTTTATTTGTTAAATGTGTTGCATTTAATTTTTTTTGTTAAATTTTTATTTTATTTGTTAAATGTTAATCTTCAAAAAAATGGTAGAAATGAAATAAATACACAAGCATTTAATCAAATACACAATGAATCAAAATATTATCTACTGCATGGAAAAAACTAATTATTTATATTTTGGACAACTATTTTTTTTATATGTGAAATAGCTTAAGAAACAAAGTATCGCTTACTTTTACATCATGTGGTAAATCAGGATCCTTGTACATTCTTAGGCGTAACATTATACCTTCAATACATCCATTATTGCTAGAGAGGAAAAAATACTAATCACTTCACAAATTAACGACAAACATAGAAAAGAGGAAGAATATTCAAGGAAATAGCCCCAAATAGAATTTTAACACTCACTAAAATGTTTACATGTATCACTTATTTGTTAACAGTTATTATAAATCAAATTTAAGAAAAATTAAGAGGATAATTTTTGAAAGTGTGAGTTATCAACTAAACAAGAATGTGTAAAGAATGTAATTTACATCCAATAAAATCCCTGCATTGAAGTTATTCTTTGAATAAATATCTATAAAAATATTATGACAAAAAAACGGGGGGTTTTATATTTGAATAGGTGACAACAAAATAAAGTTTCAAATACAAATGTGCATCGCTAAGCAAAGACCATTTTCTTTTTTAAATTACATATATTATCAAAATCATGGGCATTACAATGAATATATTATTTATCTTACCAGCAAGTCTTCTGCACAAAACTGCTGTTATATATCAGATTGCACAAACATTTTTGAGATTCAATCATAACTGCAAACAAAAAGATATATTACTAAGAGTATATAAGCAAATAAAGTTTTTAACTATCTCCTAATCCCTCCAAAAAGAAAGAAAATTTTAACATTTTTTTAGGAAATATCCATAACAGAGAAACTTTGGTTAAGGAATTTAGTTAATTCCTTAAGTAGTAGTTGCCAAATGAATAATGAATGGTCTTAAGGAATTTAGTTAATTCCTTAAGACCATTCATTATCTATAATGTTTATAAACCAAAACTCACACACACAGGAATTAATACAAAATAAATTAAAGCATTCCCAGAACACACACAACAGCTTATTTAAAATTTACAACATTACTTTGTACATAAGTTAATAAAATAAAATTAATTTAAATCATTAAATCTAAGGGGGGAACATGTTAACACAATGCTTAAACAGATAAAATAGATGCAATTAAATTAATTTTTATAATGTTTTATGATAATTAGTCAGTTATCTTATAATTTTGTCTGTACTTTCACTTCCACTTTCATCAGCTCCCACCAGGACACGCATTAGTTAATGTATTTAAGCAGACTTCTTGAGTTTAAGAGAAGGCCTTTGGCAACTACTGCTGACTGTCACTTGACTGCTTTCTCCTGTAATTAAATCACTTATAATTTTCCAATCGCAACTGCATCATGATGATTAAGTACTGAACCAAAGTTTAGTAGCGTGAGGTACAAAAATTTGATTCTCTGTTAAAACTCACTTCGTGTAACTATTAGGCTGAGAACATGGATCTAGGGGGAAAGCCTGGGTTTCTGTCTTGGGTAGCAAATTTAAAATGTGGTGCTGGAATGTTGTCTAATTTGCGACAACATTAATAGTTTTAAGGCCAGGTTTAAAACCTCTTTTAAGAAGATTTAAAATTCAATACTTAGAACCCTTTTAAGGAAACACAAAGTTAAAAGAAAGTTAAGTACAGCAGATTACAATTGTAAAGATAAGACACAAGGGCAACAGAGGAAATTCAGACGTAATTGACACGGTCAGTCTGATATTGTCAGTGTAGGCATGCTGGCAGTGGTATTCAAATGAGAAGTAGAACAATAGCTTCGAGGCATCTCATTTTCATAGCAACACCTGTTGGGCATTTTTTCATTTCCATAATAAAGCCTCTTAGGAAATGAAGAAGCAATGTAACTATTTTCTAACTAATTTAAGACCCAATAAAAGTTAACCTTGGATCAACCTGGCCAATGAAATAATTCAAATTAATGCACGTCAAGCATATACAGCAGACCATCAACATGGTCTGCTGTATATGCTTAATGCAACATGGTCTGCTGTATATGCCAATAAATGAAGCAAGGCATTTAGATTTTTTGCTACCAGTTTGCAACTTAGGCTTGCCCTTTAGTTGGAACAGCAGCACACTTTTCTATTATAACTGGATTTATTATTTTTATTATTATTCATTTTATTATTATTATTATTATTATTATTTAAGGTTTATTTTGTTCCTTCTCTTTTTCTGTTTGTTTTTTAAGTATGTCTGTTTTCAAAAGTCTGCATTACATTTAGCAAGATGCCACCAATTAGTTAACATGCGCATCTGCAGCTGCAGCACTACAGCTGTTTACAGTAATTATGTCAATAATTACTCTAAACAATTTTTAGTTGTTAAGGCAAGTGATAATGCATTTTATTTAGGCTAAAAGAAATCATAAGTGCACCTAGAAAAAACATTTGTAGAAAAAGAAACAAAGATGAGGCTCAAGAGGAATACAAATTGTAGCTAAGATGAAAAAATGGCTTCACAGAAGAGGTGAATCATCAGACACTGTACAACAATGATGCTGAGATTCTACACATCATTAATATTTTTTTTCAATCTGCAAGATCAAGATGAAGAATCTTCACCTATCATTCCTAAACAGTCTACAATTCAGCATTTGAGACAGCAGCCTTCTTCACTGACCTCATATGAACAGCTGGAGGATGTGAAGACAGGATATAGAGAATTTCTTCATTTAGATGGGGATGAGCAGCAAGAAGATGAAGACTTACAATTTTTTTATTTGATGGACTCAAGAAGTTGGCCAGACACAGATAAAATGAATGATCAGCAACAATCTTCCTTAAGCAGTCAAGCTGCATTATTAGCCAGAAAACATATACCTTAGATCAATTGAACATAATGGCAGGCATTTGACATTTTCTAAGTGGTTTAGAACATTGGCAAATTATGACAAGATTAACACATCTTGGTTTACATATTTAAGCCCAAAATTGCAAAATGGTGCTGCTGCTACATCAGTATTATGTAATACAGGATTCATTAATTGGCAAAAAGCTTCAGAAAGATGAACTGATCACGAAGCATCTACAATTCACAAACAGTGCATAAATAAGTGGAGAATTCGAGTACAACAAATGAAATCATGTCACAGCATTGTCACAATACTAAGTGACTAATTCATACAGAGGAAAAAAACAAAACTGGAGAGAGATCCTGTGCATAGTCATGGATGCTGTATTATATCTTTCAACAACTTTCTTTCTTTCTAGAGTTTTGATGAAACCCCTAGTACCCTGTTCACAAAGCATTCTCAGCCTAGTCAAGAAACATAATTCAAGTCTTAAGTACCAGTTAGAGCACCTAGAAAAGGGACAGTACCATATTTATCAAAGATACTTCAAAATGAAATTACTTATACAATGGCAAAAACAGTTTGAAATAGTATTTTAAACACTATCAGAGAAGCCAAATACTTCGTTATAATGTTCACTTGCAATTTGAATACGTCGCATACAAAACAAATGAGCCATGTGATTTGATAATAAAAAAAAGGCTTGGAATTCCAAAATAAAATAAAGCTTTATTGATTTCATAGTAGTTGACGGAAAGACAAGAGAATATATTCCTCATTGGATTGCGGAGAAACTGAATTTGATGGTTTGGGTATTGGACAATGTTGTAGTCAATCTTATGATAATGTGTCTGATATAGCTGGTATATGTAAAGCAGTACAAATCAGATCACTGAAATGAATGAGCTGGCCGAATTTATGCCATATTAAACTCAATCTTGTCAGTGTGCATTCTGCCTCATCATACCTGGAAGAACTTGACCTATTTTAAACTATACAGAAAATATTTTGCTTTTTTTGTCAGATCCACTACTCAGTGGGATATTATGAAAAAATTAACACTATGAAAAAATATGGGACAGTTCTATATCTCTTGTTCTACTTGACTAATTGACGAAATTCAACTTGCATTTTTCATGTCTCGAAAGCACGACTTCGGATATGTATTACATTTATACATAGCATTGTTCTAATATACGTATTTTGACACAAGATTGGATTTTTTCTGAAATATCATGCCAATTGTTTTCCATATTTTGATTCTACAACTCAAATTATCCCAAACTGCCAAGTTTAGTAAAAATATCACACAAGTAGTTTTTAAAAAATTAGCTCTCAAAATGTTAGCTTTATTAATTTCTCTGTTTTTTTTATTTGATTTATTTGATGCTTCCTTTCACATTTCGAAATTTAGGTTCATTCCAAATAAAATTTGCCCATTTTTTATAATTCATTTTTAAAATTGGTATTTTTAAATAATTTTTATAAATTTTTCAAAACAATTTTTGAATTATAATCTATAAAAATTTTACCATCATCTTAAAGTAGATGTATTTCTAAGCATACCTGCAAAAAATTAGAATTTTTCATTCAAAATTTCCAAAGATATATGTGAATTTATATATTTGCACGTTTTGAAATTTGGCATATTTGTTGAAAGTGATAATAACATCAAATGTGGTTTAGGCACTTTGTTAAAATTATTTGAAAGTAGAAAGGATGTGACTTTTTCCCACTCATGCACAATATAAAAAAGGGAAAGGAAAACAGGTTGCCATATATTAAGTTCGCCAGGTGAATTATTCTTGGTGCAAACTGAAAAAAAAATTGTGGCAAGATAAATTTTTGAATTTCTCCCTAAATTCCAATCCAAATTTTACAAAATTTAATATTTAGACATAATTTGAGTCATAAAATCAAAATATGGAAAAAACATTGGCATGTCATTTCAGAAAATGTCATTTCAGTTAAGCCTATTCTGGCAAATAAACAAATATTAAAGTGCAACAAGCTATGAATGGAGCAATAAAAAATTGTCAAGGATGAATCATGTATACTTCAACCTGTTCAGCTATTTTCTAAAGCAAAAAAAAGGATTGTATTTGATTGAATCTTATCAGAAGTTAAAATAACAGTTAACATCGCTGCTACACTAAATTTAAATTTCGCATTCCTCATCAGTCATGAAATATTGAATATGTAGAATGAAAAACTGCAAAAGAATGGAGCAAATCTTGCAAAAAATATGAGTAAGGTCTAAACACAGACGAGTTCTGCCAGGCACTCATCATTTTTAAAGAATACTATTCAGTGACATAAAAAAGGCTAGCACTTTCTATATCTTACAACAGATCTACACCAGTGATTTACAGGACAACTTTTGCAATATTTTTATTGTGCTTCAGATTTACTCTATGCTTCTGACCACATACGCAAGCTCTGAGTGAAGTTTTAGCAAATTAAAGCTTACTAAAAATTTTCTGCAATCATCAATGAACCAGGAATGTGTACAAGTCAGCGATTCTGGCAATCAAACTGCACATAAAATTAATTAAAACAATGCCACTGATGTATTTGCAGAACAATAGACTCGCAAGGTAAAATTTTAATTTTCATTAATACTTGTGCAATATTTTAATAGCATTAGAGGACATATAAAATGTAAAATTAATAATGAAACAAGAAGTACGAAAAAAAAGATATGAAGTATGAATACAAACCTTTTTCATTCAGTGATAGCCTGTATTCTGTAGGCAGTGGCTTAACCAGTCGCCGAGTAGTAAATACCGACTGGTTGGCTGCATGATTGGTTTCTGTGATTTTTCCCATGTGTAATGTATTCACACTATGAGATACTTTTCCTTAGATAATCCTTCATAAAATCATCTCTCCTCTTAGGCAGAAGCAATCATACCTTTGCCATATTCAAAGAACTTAACCTAATCTATATGCAATGAATATGAATGGTGGCCGATCCCCAAGGAATGGAAGAACAAATGGTGGTGTGGCCTGGAGGATTAGAGACACTCGTACCTGAATCCAAAGGTAAGCTGTCTGGAGAGGTGACTGCCCTACGAAGGATCACACATCTTTCTAATTATGTAACTTTTGGTACATCTCTTTCCCTTCTAACAAAAAATGGTACATAATTTTTTAGCAAAAAATGAATTTTATGTTTTGTCTCAAATGCTACCCTACTTCTGTGTTTATTAAAAATAATAAAAATTTGTAGGAGAAACTTAAAAATAGGATGGGCAAGGGTGGAAATTTTAAGTTTTTGTTCCACCTTGCAAAAATTCTGAGAAGTAAATAAAAAGATTTAGTTTCAATTGAGTTTGTTTCACTGTATTCTAGAAATTACGATGAAGTCGTTTGGCTGTTTTTATGGTTCATGGAGCTAACATTCTGAGTAATAAGGAACTGTACAATTTTACCATATTGACATGAAAGAAAATGAATTGTATAAATCGAAAGTGATGAGGAAGAGATAAGAATGTGATATTATTTTCTTGATAAAGAGTTTAATTTCAAAAAAACATCAGGTAACTAACTGCCTTTCTGAGGAATTTTCTTTACTATTTTTTGATACTTTTTTTTTTTTTTTTTATTTTACTTAGATAATGTGAGTCAAATAATGGAAAATACTTAAAATTATGTTTCTAGAAGTCCATGAATATTAATTCCGTATCAGAGGTTAAATCCAAACACTTCTGAAACATGATGACATGCCAATTTTTTTTTTTTTTTTTCCATATTTCGATTCTATGATTCAAATTATGCCAAACTGTCAAGTTTTGTAAAAATCGCATGATTCGTTTTTAAAAAATTAGCTTCAAAATTTTAGCTCCTCGGTGTTAATTGAATTATGCATATATTTGTTAATCTCTTTTTTTATTAAACTTTTTTGATTCTTCCTTTCCAATTCCAAAATTTAGATTCATTCCAAACAAAATTCGCCCATTTTTTATGATTTATTTTTAAAATTTGTATTTTTAAATAATTTTTATAAATATTTCAAAAAAAGTTTTGAATTATTTTTAACATCATCTTAAAGTGAGATGTATTTCTAGGCACACCTAAAAAAATTAGAGTTTTTTATTCAAAATTTTCTAAGATATACATGAATTTACATATTAGTGCATTTTGAAATTTGGCATATTTGTTATAAGCGGTAACAACGCCAAATGCGGTTTATGCAGTTTGTTAAAATTATTTTAAAGTACGAGCGATGACTTTTCTTCTGCTCCTCTACAACGGAAAAAAAAAAAAAAAAAAGGAAAAGAAAATAGGTTGCTATCAATTAAGAAGTTCACCAAGTGAATATTCAAACTGAAAAAAAATGCGGTTAGTTTAATTTTTTAATTTCTTCATGTAAGTTTCATACCATATTTTACAAAATTTAATTTAGACATAATTTGAGTCGCAAAATCTAAATATGGAAAAAATTGCCATGCCATTTTAGAAAAAATCCGAGTTGAGTCAAAATACATACATTAGAACAATATTATGTAGAAATTTAATATATATCCTAAGTTGCGCTTTTTGAAACATGAAAAACGCAATTTGAATTTTGTCAATTGGCCCAGTAGAACAGGAGATATAGAACTGTCCCCCCCTTTTTTTTTTGGGCACAGTGTATATATGATAATTTGACAGACTATATTTTCACCTATTAAAATGGAAAATGTACATGAAAGTGTGCCTAATTTAATGTCATGTGAGACAATTATTAATATAAAACTTGCAGTGAATTAACATACTGTTATTTTGTTATTTCCACAAATATTATTCAGGTTATGAAACCCCTATTTTTAACATTATATACAGACAAAAAATTTTCTTTGTTAATTATAATGTTCACATTAGCTTTTATTATATGAAACACGGAATTTCAAAATCTAATTTTTTTTATTGTTCTATTCCAGTTTTGAATGACAATACTGAAGAGAATAACTGTATGGACACAAAATATTAAAAGATATTATAATAATTATTTACACAAATCATAATAAATTTAAGATTTTCCCTATTGTTCTGCTTGTGAAATTGATAATAACTAATTAATAAGAATACTAAAAGAAAAAATTTTGATTTGAATTACCTTTTACATCATACACTCTAGTACACTGATTAAGAATTTCTTCTTCCTCAGCAATTAAGCCAGCTAAATTCACTAAAATACCTATTGCCTGATTATTAAACAATTCCTCGATATGGATCTTTTCTCGGCTCAAGATACGTATACTTGCGAGACAAATAACTCGTCCTTTTTCATAGTTTGACACTTGCTTGAATAACATTGTCACTAAACGCTGAAAGAATAAAATCAAGAAAATAGGGATTATGATTCTTCAAAAATTTATAACAACAATCTTCTTGCAACTCATGAAAGCATGCAAATTCTTAACTCAATAAATGCCCATTTTAAAGGAATATTACCATTAAGACACAATAACACGCCGAATAAATACTGATTGAGAAGTCAAACAACAAAAATCAGCGTTAATTCACAAAATTGGAATTTTGTGAATTAACGCTCATTTTTGTTGTTTGACTTCTGAATGAATATTACCATATTTACAATTAAATATTCATGACGAACTTTCCCAATAATCTTAACCTCATAGCTTAGAAATTCACCATTTAAGAGAAAACTAAACAATTATATTCTTGTTTGTTGTTTACAAGACATTTAATGTTTCTGTATGCTTACATTTCTCATCATTGAAGCGCAGTTGCTTAATTCTTCACTCTACAGTCAGAGCAGCTTTCTCCTTCTCATGCATATATCGAGCATGTCTAAAGATTAGAAATTACGGTGTGTGCAGAGTGGCTAGAAAATAGCAACTTTCCAGTATTACTCAAAGTCTTCAAAATAATCCTGAACCAGAAAGTTTTGAATATAAGGAAGTATCAAGCAGAAATAGGTGTGCTTAATAAAGAAGCACTTAGTTATTGGTATCTTCAGCTGATTATGAGTTGTCTGCTAGCATAATTAAAGAATATGCAAGATACTTAAAAAGTACTTTACTCACACTGTAATAAAATTATACGTTAAGACTCCCATGTTGCTACTTCCTTACATTTAAAAGCTTCTACTCACTCAGATTTATCTCAGTATTTTCTAATCCTCTATGTATGGATACATTTAGACTAGCATGTTTTAAACGTTTTTCAAGTAAGATCCCTTTTACATATTACAATATTCCACAGACCACCTTATTCTTGCCCTCTTTAAAAGCAATACTGTAGCACATGATACTACCGGCATACTTATGTCTTTAAAATACCAGTAACTAAAATTCATTAAAATATTCCACAGACCACCTTATTCTTGCCCTTTTTGAAAGTATTTTAGCACATGTTACTACCAGCATACTGTAATGTATTTTGTAGTAATTGACAAAAGAGGCAATCTTCTTATTAGAACATAAATTTTATTTCTAGTTCACGGAGACAGATAATTTGAAGAAATTCTTTAGTGGCAAAACTTTCATACTACTACTAGCTGGTAAAAACTTCAGAATCTAATTTTTAAAACAATTTCTCATGTTGCTGAGCAACGGTTACATAATACAAATATGGCGTTGCCACTTCAACAATAAATTAATTAAATAATAAATAATTTATTAAATAACAAGATATCAAGATATTACAACCTCTCTTCCCTCCAGATAAACTTTAATTTATATTTTTATAAATTAAAGTTTACCTTTTTTTTTTTTTTTTTCAAAACAACAATATCAGCACAATACACAATTGAAATACAAGAATTTAAAGAAGAATTAAACACGAAATAACATAATAACATACACTGAGGAAAAGAAAAAGAAACAAAATATTTTTTTTATCTATATAGAGAAACAAATTATTTAATCAGGCCAGGGAGTACGACTTAATGCGTCTACATTTTTATGGTTTTTACCACTTCGATGAACGACTGTGTAAAGAGTTGTAGTACCAGTGCCCATCTCATAAGTCGTGGATTTAGACTCATATTATTTTTGAGCCAAACTAAGGGATTATGATTGGTCATGATGAGGAATTTAGTATGCCCGTCTAAATAGCATTAAAGTTTCTTTACAGCAAATATTATGGTGGCGCATTCCTTTTCTGTGGTATACTTTTTTTAAGTTTCTGTAAACTTCTTACTGAGGTATAATCAGTGGCGACTCGTAATAAGCACTGTGGAACTGCAGCACCCCCTATTTCCACGTATTATTATTTTTAATATTTAATATAGTGTGCCCTTTAGTCTTTAATTCTTTCTTTATACTTTTACAATACATAATCCTTAAGCTTAATGTCAGTAGCCATTCCCCACTTTGTGAAAAAGGTAAGAAAGTCTTTGTTTGGAACTGTGCACGTCAAAGTTCCAGCAACTTGGTGTTTGGCTGTTCTGCGTATGCGCACACAGAGAGCAGCACGCGAGCCGGGTATAGAGAAGAGCACTGTCGCTCTAGCAGTGCTGAAATTCTGTTGCTGAAAAGGTGATTTCAATTTTCTCAGTCTGATTGGCAGAAAATTTCGGTTTTATTGTTTTTCTCACATCTTCAAAATCTTCAATTTTCTTAATTATTTCAGTAGGTGAAATGATGGTTGTCCATTGATCCATAAAATGTTCTTTGAAATCAGGAGAAATACACTTTTTAATTTGATCAACCAGCATGAGATCTTTTAGCTGTTCAAAAGTTTTAATGTTTAATCCGTTAAGCCATCCTTCTAAATAATTCTTTAATTGATAGTAGAAATCATACCAAGTACCTTCAGTAGATTTTTGGTGTTTATTAAATAGTTGTCGAAATTTTTCCGCACTCAATTTAATTCGTTGTAACAGTAAAATTTTTACATATTCATACTTTTTCGCGTCCTCTTCTGGTTCTCTAGCAATAAGCTGAACAATGTCAGGAGGCAGCAATGAAATAAGTTGAAGCACTTGATTTTCAGCAGGTATATTCATTATTTTAGCTTGACGCTTAAATAACACCAGAAATAAACTTATTTCATCTTCTTTAGGGTTGAAACATGGCATGACATCATGAATTCTGATTTTTTAAAGGCTGCTCAGGAAACTGTGTAGTTTCTACCAGCTGTGCTGTTGCAGCCATTGCGTTCAACTGAAGTTTGTGTAGCTCAAAAGCTCTAATTCGCTCTTCTGTTTCGCATTCTTTTTCTTCTTTTCGCATTCTCTTTCTCTTTTCGCGTTCTTCCCTTTTTCTTTTCACATTCTTCCTTTCTTTCTCTTTCTTCTCTTTCGCATACCTTTTCTCTTTCTTCTCTCCTTTCTCTTTCTTCTCTTTCGCGTTCTTCTCTCCTTTCTTCTCTTTCGCGTTCCTTTTCTCTTTTTTCTTTTCTTCTCTTTTGCGTGTTATTTATCCCTTTCTTCTCTTTCACATTCTTCCTTTTTCTTCTCTAATTGCAGCCAGTAGTTCTTGAGTAAACTCCTCATCATAACCGGGACTTTCAGTAATCAATTTATGCAACTGAGCAATCTTAAATTCAGGTTTCACAGTTAAATCTAACTCTTCTGCCAGTACTTTTAAATCCTGTTTTTTACTCCGAGCTAAGAATGACATGTTGAACAAGTTACCTTTAATAGGCTTTCTTTTAAAATTTAATCTAAAAGATTGTACTTGTATTAAAAATGTATAATTTCTGGCAAGACTTGACGAAATTCACACTATCCAATTGGAGACAACAACTTTGCCAGGTTGGCACTAAATAATATAATACTACGTTGGGTTGATGTTTTAACTCAGTATTCACAAGCCTCGTTAGCTATATAACTATATAACCACCTTTGCGAGTTAGGCAATACAATGGAATTTTACCCACGTCAGTTTGACAATTTTACTATCTATCTCCCCGCCTGGTTGGTGATAACAAAAGCAATTTTTTTTGCCAGTTTGGCAATATAACTTTTAGAATATACAATCTATATATTACGTCGGGATGACGTTACTATCTACCACGTGCCTGGATGGCGAGAACTTAGACTTTTGCCAGTTCTGCAGTATAATCAAATCACTCTACGTCAGTTTGACGTTATTACTTATTTTTCACGCACCTGCTTGGCAACAAATTCAAAAGCTCAGCTAGCAGTTCTTTTTCTTTTATAAATGCCGGAATGGCTTACACATATCAATTATCAACATAAAATTTCAATATAAATAAAAGTAAAGCATAAACAATAATTTTAAAATACTTTTCTACCACAAATATCAATTATAAATTTCTCCTAATATTTTTAGTATTAGTTATTTTACACAGAAACTTTTACTATTTAAATATAATTCTGAAACAAAGTATTAAATTTCAATAAAAGCTTTTTTAGAAAAACAAAAGTTAATCTTATCTTCAGAGATCATTAATATCCTGTTCTGTCAATTCTTTGCTGCAACACAAGCTATAGAAATACAGAAGATAACCTTTGAATGATCCACTTCAAAAATCTGGCTTTAAAATAGCAGACTTCTGTCATCTATTTCTCCTTGAAATAAACTTATATTGATACTACCAAACTTGTTCTCAAAAATTCAGCAAATTTCTGGGATTAGGAGACCAGCACAATCAAAATTGATAATTGCACTCCTAATTTCCAGTATCTCGGTGGAACCTCCAATTAATTAAGACTGTAATGTATTTTGCAGTAATTGACAAAAGAGGCAATCTTCTTATTAGAACATAAATGTATTTATTTATCTATAAATGATGTATTTCTAGTTCACGGAGACAGATAATTTGAAGAAATTCTTTAGTGGCAAAACTTTCATACTACTCCTAGCTGGTAAAAACTTCAGAATCTAATTTTTAAAACAATTTATCACGTTGCTGAGCAATGGTTACATAATACAAATATGACGTTGCCACTTCAACGATAAATTAATTAAATAATAAATAAATGTATTAAATAACAAGATATTACAATACTTATGTTTTTAAAACACAAGTAATTAAAATTCATTTAATTTTAAGCAGATATTAAATCAAGTAAGTTAACAGAACAAAAGTTATATTTATTTTTAATAATTCAAGATTACTAGAGTCGTAAAATATTTACCTTATGAACTAAAAATTAAATGTTGGCACTGACATTAATGGCATAAACGAGCCTGCTGACTCTCGCATTCGAATTGTTCAATCAGCTGTTCTATATTTGGATGTATGCTGATTAGCTTAAGTCTGAAATTGGTACATACATAAGTCAATTTCAATCCTTTTTTTTAATTTGAATTAGAGATGAAAACCCCTCTTATGCAGGTACATAGAAGCAAACTGAGTTCTATTTTTAAAGTGCTGTTGTCCACTACAT